CCATTTTCTTTCAAAAAATTTTAAGGTTTTAAGAATTTAAAAGGCCTTAAATTCCTTAAAATCCTTAAAATTTTGAAAGCCCCAACCTTTCAAAATTTTAAGGATTTTAAGGATTTAAATTTTAAATGGGCCTGCCTCTTTCCGGAAAATGATTTAATTTTCTTTCATTTTAAGGATTTTAAGGATTTTAAGGATTTTAAGAAATTTAAAAGGCCTTAAATTCCTTAAAATCCTTAAAATTTTGAAAGGCCCGGCCTTTCAAAATTTTAAGGATTTTAAGGATTTTAAGGATTTTTAAAATTTTAAATGGGCCTGCCTCTTTCCGGAAAATAATTTAATTTTCTTTCAAAATTTTAAGGATTTTAAGGAAGGATTTTAAGAAATTTAAAAGGCCTTAAATTCCTTAAAATCCTTAAAGTTTTGAAAGCCCCAACCTTTCAAAATTTTTAAGGGTTTTAAGGATTTTTAAAATTTTAAATGGGCCTGCCTCTTTCCGGAAAATAATTTAATTTTCTTTCAAAATTTTAAGGATTTTAAGGATTTTAAGGATTTTAAGAAATTTAAAAGGCCTTAAATTCCTTAAAATCCTTAAAATTTTGAAAGGCCCGGGCTTTCAAAATTTTAAGGATTTTAAGGATTTTAAGGATTTTTAAAATTTTAAATGGGCCTGCCTCTTTCCGGAAAATAATTTAATTTTCTTTCAAAATTTTAAGGATTTTAAGGATTTTAAGGATTTTAAGAAATTTAAAAGGCCTTAAATTCCTTAAAATCCTTAAAATTTTGAAAGCCCCAACCTTTCAAAATTTTAAGGATTTAAGGATTTTAAGGATTTTTAAAATTTTAAATGGGCCTGCCTCTTTCCGGAAAATAATTTAATTTTCTTTCAAAATTTTAAGGATTTTAATGATTTTAAGAAATTTAAAAGGCCTTAAATTCCTTAAAATCCTTAAAATTTTGAAAGGCCCGGGCTTTCAAAATTTTAAGGATTTTAAGGATTTTAAGGATTTTTAAAATTTTAAATGGGCCTGCCTCTTTCCGGAAAATAATTTAATTTTCTTTCAAAATTTTTAAGGATTTTAAGGATTTTAAGAAATTTAAAAGGCCTTAAATTCCTTAAAATCCTTAAAATTTTGAAAGGCCCGGGCTTTCAAAATTTTAAGGATTTTAAGGATTTTAAGGATTTTAAAATTTTAAATGGGCCTGCCTCTTTCCGGAAAATGATTTAATTTTCTTTCAAAAAAATTTTAAATTTTAAGGATTTTAAGGATTTTAAGGATTTTAAGAAATTTAAAAGGCCTTAAATTCCTTAAAATCCTTAAAATTTTGAAAGGCCCGGGCTTTCAAAATTTTAAGGATTTTAAGGATTTTAAGGATTTTTAAAATTTTAAATGGGCCTGCCTCTTTCCGGAAAATAATTTAATTTTCTTTCAAAATTTTAAGGGTTTTAAGGATTTTAAGAAATTTAAAAGGCCTTAAATTCCTTAAAATCCTTAAAATTTTGAAAGGTCCGGGCTTTCAAAATTTTAAGGATTTTGTGGTCCTTTTAAAATTTTGGAAAACCCCTAAATTCCTTAAAATCCTTAAAGTTTTGGAAGGCGAAGCAGGACCGTCAAATAACGCATAAAGGTCCTACATACAGACCCCTATAGGGTGCTAAGGTTCTGACCCTAAAGGGTTTAGGATTAAGGCTTAAATGCCCTCTAGGTTTAAATGCCTAAGTCTTAAACCCCAACCTTTAAACCTTCATCCTATGGGGTTTGAAGGTCAAGGGTTTAGGCTTGATTGCCGAGGGCTTTAGGGTCCTGACCCTAGAGGGTTTAGGGTTAAGGAATAGATGCGTAAACCTTAAACCCTTAAGGTTTAAACTCTATGGGCTTAGGGGGCTTAGGTTTTTTTTTAAACCCTAAGCCTTTAAACCTTCACACTACAGAGTTTAGAGGTGTTAAGGGTGACAAATTGATTACATACTTAGCTTTAAATGCCTGAATCTTAAACCCCAAACCTTTAAACCTTAACCCTATAGGGTTTAAAGGTTAAGGGCTTAGTGTTAATCGCTGTCTTAGGTTTAAATGTCTGAATCTTAAACCCTAAAACTTTAAACCTTCACCCTATAGGGTTTAAAGGTTAAGGGTTTAGGTTGAATCGTCAGCTTGGATTTAAATGTCTAAGTAAAGAATCCTAAACCTTTAAATCTCATCCCTATGGGGTTTAAGGTTAAGGGTTCAATATGAACTGCCGGCATAGGTCTAAATACCTAAACCTTAAACTTAAACCCTAAACCTTTAAATATCTTAACCCTATAGGGTTTAAAGGTTAGAGGCTTAGCGTAAATTGCCGGAATAGGTTTAAATGCCTAAATCTTAAGCCCGAAACCTTTAAACCTTAGCCCAACAGGGTTTAAAGGTTAAGGGTTTAAAATTAGTTGCAGGCTTAATTAGGTTTAAATGCCTACATCTTATATCCTAAACCTTTAAAAATCTTAACCCTATAGGGTTTAAAGGTTAAGGGCTTGGCTACAGGTTTAAATGGCTAAATATTAAACCCTAAGCCTCTAAACTTTAACCCTACAGGGTTTAAAGGTTAAGGGTTTAAAATTAGTTGCAGGCTTAGGTTTAAATGCCTACATCTTAAACCCTAAACCTGTAAAAATCTCAACCCGATAGAATTTAAAGGTTAAGGGCTTAGCTTTAATTACCGGCATAGGTTCAAATGCCTAAATCTTAAACCCTTAACCTTTAAACCTTAACCCTACAGGGTTTAAAGGTTAAGGTTTTTTTTTGCAGGCTTAGGTTTAAATGCCTAGATCTTAAATTATAAACAAAAGCCAACAGAAAGAAAAACCCTCCGTGCGTGTGTGAGAGGGTGAATTAAGGAATACAGTCAAAAATCCGGTCACCGGAAAATCACCAGACAGCATAGGTTTTATCGGTATTTGCGGTACTTTTGCAGAGATCAAGGCCCGCGGTGGGTCCATTGGGGGGGGGTGACCATATATATATATATATATATATATATTTCTACATGTATATTTTTTGTTTTATATCACCGCGAACTAACACATCACTGCACATAGCCCCAAGCCAACCAACAAACATGCCTCTCACAATGTCAGCCGAGGCAGCGAGGAAGCGTGGCAGCGGACGCAGCGCTAACAGCGGCCGCCCGTGAAGGCGGAGGCTTCTGAGACATAGGCAACAGGTCGACATCAATAACGCAGGAGGTTGCAAAAAAAGTGTCAGAGAAAGGCAGATCAGAAGGCAGTAACAGCCTAAACCCTGGCCCTAAACCCTTTATGTATCTGGGCTTGCGTCGCCCTTAACCATCCGGAGCCCTGTAAACCAAAATCCCAAAACCCTAAACCCTAAACCTCAGGCTCCTGTCTGTTCTGGTGGATATGCAGTGACCCCATCGCGGCAGCAGCCGAGGTCGCAGGGCTCGGAGCATGTCCCGGCTCCTTCATAGAGATGCTGTAGTAAGAGATGCCCTGGTCTGGGGGGGGGGGGGGGGGACTACTTCAGAGGGTCGCAACCTGTCAGTCTCCGCTACAGTAGGGGTTTAGGGTTTGGGGTTTAGTGCTTCGACGCTCACACTCGCACTGGGCAGGCAAGGCTTCCATGTCCAACGAAGAGACTGCTATCACTTTGGGCCTCTGGTGAATACTTTTCAGCCACTGCAACCTGTTCTGGTTTAGGGTTCAGGGTTCAGGGTTTAAGGTTTTGGGGTTCTGTGTAAGACACTGCAAGACGTCGCAAGCACAGAGTTCTACATCCATCGCTGTGGCACTCATGCTGTGCGCTCCTATTCGCCTGGACCAGGTAGTCTTCGTCTAAGCCTTCCTTGAGCCGCACGGCATCGGGGGATCTGACATTCCTCTGGGCAGCAAAGTCTCTCGAGCTGATGACACAAAACACAACAGTGACACTGACCTGGGCAAGCTGTTCAACAAGTTGCTTGGGAAGTCCGCAGTCACAAACAGGGTATCGCTGGCCGGTAAGAGAATCTCTTGAAAGATGATTGTTGTCCTGGCACCACCATGCGTGCCCTTCTGCACGTCTGCCCGAGGCCACGCGGCCATCCAACCGGCTTTGCAGGCAAGAAGCACATATGCCCGCATGCTGGTTCACGCCTTACACGACACATGGTGCTATGACTATGACTATGACTGCGGGTACGTATTCATAATAGCTTCAGGGCTTTTAAAGGGTTTACTAGGGCTTATAGGGTATAACCTTATGAGCTGCACGACTTGATGGCTGTCCCGTCTCTTGCGGCCAAAGGAGCAGAAGGCGCAGATCCAGTAGCAGTCGTGGAGTCGCCCACACTTCTCCAAGATGCGCTCGATGATGTCAACATCCTGAGCCCAGTGGGGGGGGAAGAACCTTCTGTTTCATTCATCCCCTCCCCCGAATATGAAAATAATCCCCATTGCAGTTGTATTATAGTGTTTGGGGGTATCTAACAGAAAGGGGGTGGGGGGGTTTAGTTGAACATTAGGGGGAGGGGGATATCATTGCCCTGATCACGCCTTGTGGAGCAGGCGCGAGACCAGACCGTAGCTGGACTCCTCATTCGAAGGTGAGGACACACTTGCCGGCAACTTCCCGACACATACGGTATGCTCTGTGTCGTTGCGTGGCTACTTTTCTCCGAATGATATATCTGTGGGGGTCCGTGGCTCTCGCTCGCTGCAACACTCGCTTCGCTTTCGGTTTAGGGGCTTCAGGTTTCATAAGACAGGTCCTCCAGCGCGTCAGCAACGACAGCAGCACAGAGATCAACGAAGCGATTTCCCCACCAGTGCCTGGGCATCTGAAACGCTCAGCTTCCGGGCAAGTGATGGCAAGCCGAATCCGGGAGAAACCGGCACGGGCATGTAGCCGTTTCCGAATGCGGGCATGGCATCTTTGGCTGCAGGGTGAACCAACCATTCCTGTACTCTGCTTGCGCAGTGAAACGGAGCAGCGCGCTCCCGATTCGCTCAGGCGAATACCCAACCTGAACTAGTCGAATCTGAACTTCTTCTTTTGCTCCTCACATCGGGCTTCCACCACTGACCTGGGGTGCCATGCTGTGCCCGCAACATCAGCATGTGACGGCGTGTGAAAATACTGCCACAGCAAACTCTGCTCACAATCATTGACAGCACAAAGGCTAAGCCTACGAACAACTAAGACGCCCAGCTGCCCGAAAGCCCACAAGCCCCTAAACCCGAAAAACGCTACACCCGTTTCGAGCGAAATGGCGCATCCATCGCCACTGGCTCGACACAACGAAGCTGTGCAGAAGCAACGACCTCGTCCAGCAAGCTGTCCTGTGAAGGCCAAGGCTCGTGTTGAGACAGCACTTAGAAGCACTTAGAGGGTCTGACCGTTTAGGGCTTAGGGCTTAGGGCCCGGGGTGTGGAGGGGGCGTTTCTTACGAGCAGTGTGGACTCCCGGTCCAGGACACTTGCGTCGTCGGTCTCCACAAAGTCCCGCACCTCACCATGCTGGCAATCTGATCATCAATCCACCCTTTCTCTGCATCAGTGTGGACTTGATAGGCGATAAAGGACCGGGCCATTTCTGCGATGAAAGCACAGTCCAGCTGAATCTGCTGCAGCCCATACTTCCCGAATGTCTCTTCCCGCACATACTCGAAGAAGGCCTGCGAGAATCTGTGCAAGCACTCCTTTGGCAGCCGCCCTGATCCGGGAATTGCTTCCCAGCGGCCTTGAAAGCAATTCGCAGTATGCCGACGATTGCACCATTCCTGTTGAAGGGAATCGGGGCGAACACCTGCCAGGGTTCAGAACACTTGTGTCTCAACTTCAAGAGCACCTGAGCACCTTTCACCCCCCACCTGGAGCTTCTTGGCCCAGAGGCGTTCCACCTCGAGCTCCATGGAGTTCTTGAAGCGGGACAAGTTACGTCGGTGGTCACCTGATGCTGGTAACGCAACGCCTTCTCACCTCACTTGCGACCATGGCTCCTATCTGCCCCTTTCAGGGGAGCCATGTTTCGCGAAAGGCCTCTATCCAGGGGACTTAATAAGCTCTTGCAACTAGAAAACCCCTCAACACTAATCCGTTCAGATCAGCCCCCCCCCCCACCTGTCTTCGGCTTCCTGGGGTCGCCCAGAAGCCGCGCCAGCTGCGCGTCGAAAGCATGCACCTGTTTAGCTTCACAAAGCGGGCCTCCCCCTCCCAAGATACAGCACTTCACAGCAACAGGACAGCAAAAGCGCAGCACTGTCTCTACAACTTGGGAGCCGGGAAAATTGGCTTCTAGGAACAGATACACGCACTGTAGAGCCTCCAGACAACCAAGTTTTAGGGACAGCGCGGCACCTCAATCTCTCAAGGTTTCAAGTGCCGTGCTGTCCCAAGAACTTTCTTTTTGGAAGCCCAAGGTTTTTTGGGCGGACAGCGCAGCACTCCGGGGCTTCCAGGCTTCGAAAACACTGTCTTGTCCCTAAAGCTTCGGGCTCGGGGGAGGCCTTCAAAAACGACTAGGTTTTCTGTTCAGAAACAAAAGGTTGCTTCTTAGTGGTAACTGAAGCTCTCTTATCTTCAGTAGACATGAGCTAGCTTCCAGCAGGGAAATGGGAGAGCTGCTGGTTTTTCATGAGCCAGAGCGTGCAAACACTGCTGTTATTCCACAAGCCTGGATGGACCTGCTAAACTAGTCTTGCAGACTCTGGTACCAATATTGTCCTCACTTCTTGCCTCTCTTATTTTGCGGGGGGGATCACGCTGGGGTGTAGATCTTGGGGGAGGGCGAGAGCCAGTTAAGGATGTTCTTGTTTGGTGAGTTTTGGGGGGTTGTTGTGGACTTTGCGGGCTTTGGACTCTCACACTTGCATGGCAGGCAAGGCTTCCCAATGCATGCAGGGCGAAGTCTTGCTCGCAATGCTGAGGGGATGGCGGATTTTGCAAGGCGGCTTCTCAGACTCACACGCGCAAGCTGGCGAATTGCCAGCCCGGGGTTTCTTTCTCCTACATGGTCATGGTCCCTTTTTTGGGTTCCCCAAATCTCAGGGGCCGTCCTCCAATAGCAACCCCAAAAAGGGACCAGACAATTATAGAAGTGACCACGTATGAGGGCTCCCCTTTGAGTCCTAAACCCTAAACCCTAAACCCTAAACCCTAAACCCTAAACCCTAAACCCTAAACCCTAAAGCCTACCTAAACCCTGCACCTCCCGGAGCACCATCTCCACCACCTTGCGCGGCTCCTGTGGCTCCCGCACCTCCATCCAAGAAGGGGAGACGGTTCCACCAACTCCAAGCCCCAGGGTTTAGGGTTTAGGGTTTAGGGTTTAGGGTTTAGGGTTTAGGGTTCAGGGTTTAGGGTTCAGGGTTCAGGGTTTAGGGTCTAGGGTGTAGGGTTTTTCTCCCACCCGTTTCGCAAGCGTTTACGGGGAAAAGGGTTTAGGATTTAGGGTTCAGGGTTTAGGGCTTTTTGTCCCACCCGTTTCGCATGCGTTTACAGGGAAAATTTAAGGTTCAGGGTTTGGGCTCTAAATCCTGAACGCCGAAGCCCTTTTTACCCCCTAAACCCTGAACCCTATGCACCCTGCCAAGGAGCTGTCATCCAGTTCCGACTCTGCACGGAGTTCCGAAAGAAGTGCGCCAGCCGCTGTCCACTCATGGTGGCCTTGGCGTCAACAACCAGAGAGTGAGTTGCCACGGTGCTTCTTGCAGTCTATCCCCCACTTCCCATGCCACAGACGCATGATCGCCCAGAAAAATGCACTAGACATTGTTGCACCTGCGACCCCATCACAGGAGAGCTGTCAATCAGACGTGGCACATACTGTGTGATCACTGCTTGCGCCGCATTTCGCGTCGACTTCAAGACCTGACAAGCACGGAAACGGGAGTGCTAGAGACTGCCAACTTGCCAGGCGCTTAGGATGCTTAGGCACCCCTCGCCCCTCACCCCTCATTCAGCTGGAGTTTGCGGACAAGTCTCTGCAGCATTTGGCTGGAGCTCAGCAGCTGCAGCTTCGGAACCTTCAAAGAGGTCCTTTGCAACGCCCCAAACCTGTAGGGGCAGCGGTGGGGGTAAGAAAAACAAAGCCCGGCTTAATTTCGGTCCAGTACCCATCCACGCCTTGTTGATGGCCTTGACTTCCAGGTGTCGGCCGACTCGCACCAAAGCCAAGGCAAAAAGACCGCACCACTCGAGGTCCTTGGCATGAAGCGTCAGGAGGATCTTCTTGATTCCCCCTTGTTTGTTTTCTCTGTTTGGTCCGCCCCTTGTGCAGTCCCAGGCGCAGTTACCTGCTTCACTTCGTTGGCGACAGGAAGTGGCAGGAAAGCTTCGCCAAGCTCGCTCCCCACCTGGAAGGCGGGGTGCCCATCTGTATGCCTGCTATGCTTATTACTAGTCACTGTTCTCAACCATTCCTACCAATTTCTACGGCAAGCAGCATCACATGCATGAGCAACTGGACCTCCCTTTTGCTGTCAGCTGCGATGCTCAGTGCTCTCTCGTGATTGAAGAAGTTACAACGGCAGTGCATATCTTATGCCCGCCCACAGGTCTGTGACAGCCCACACGCTCAAGACTACAGGTATCATAGCTGTGAGATCTGAGAGAAGTAACGCAGCACATCAGGGCCGTGCCAGACAAACATGCAGGGTGTCCATACTCTCATTTAATTCGTGCTAACCAAAACGGTCAACTTCATGCGGCCATCATGGCTCGCTTCATGCCGACTCCCGCCTACTGCTCTCCGCCTCCTCCTCCCTTGGTCTTGGTCAGGTTGACAGTCTCGCGCTTCAGGACCTGGGCATAACAAGATGGGCAAACACGGAAAGTGACCTGCTTGTTGCCGTGATGAAACCGCGTCTGGGCCCGAGCACAGGCCAACAGGCCAAAGTTGGGCCCCAGCGCCAAATGAACAATCTCCGCGTGCGTGCGGGCAGGCGGGCGGGCAACCGCGGGCGTGCGGGCGTGCATACGTGCCTGCATACGTGCGTGCACACGTGCGTGCATACGTTCGTGCATACGTGCGTGCGACACGCGGTGTCGCCATCGGTGCTAACAAGCGAAGAACTCTGCCATGCTAGGCTCTGGACGTGTAGCAGGGTCTGAGAGGACTCGAGGATCTTCATGTAGGCAGCCTCTGTCTCTTGTATGGTCTTGTCATATTCGTTGCGGGCTTGGGTCTTGCGCACCAGGCTCTCGTTCACTTTCTGCAATCGATCCGTAAGAATCGAGAGCTCTTTCTGGATCTTGGCCTTGTCCTCTTCTTCCTTCAAGATCTGACGATTCAGCTCCTCGCGCTTCTCACGGAGATCCTCAATGGACTTGACCAGTTCGTTGTTGTAGTTCTGCAAGGTAGCTCCCTGGGACGCCATGTCGGCAACTGCGAAAGGGAATGCGTTTGAGTGCGCTTGAGCTGCTCTCAAATGCTGCGACGTGCACGTGTACAGCATGCTCGTGACTCTCGTGAACAGTCTCGACTCTAGACAAGTTGACGCGGCAACCCCCTACTCCCCGTAAAAAACAACACATGTCTCAAGCTACTATGCTTGCATGCGACAAGGTTTGCAGACCAGGCCACATACATGCGACAGATCTCTGTAAAGGTCGCAAAGAAGGCAATAAGCCTCGGAAGCCAAGAGCACGCTGGACACGGTCCTGTGAAGCATGGGTCTGTACAGCATTCCAAGGCATGCCAAACCAACCCGAGCAATGATATGGCAGGTGCTTGCAAGGAGCTGCGAGTGGAGGCCTTTGACAAGTTGCTGCCCAGCCACCTCCCATCCGGGCCAAGCAAGGCTATTAGAAGGACAAAAGCACTGAGTGGTCGTGAGTGGGACGACCCTCTGAAATCAGAACCAGGTGAGGACAAATCACAGTCGAACAGGAAGACGAAGAAGGAGAAACACAATTAGAATAGGAATGGCAACAACAAGACTAAGAGCAATACTGTCAATATCACCAAGAAGCAGAATGCAAACAGCAAAAGATGTCAACCTGAATCCTGAAAGGAATAGGAATAGCAGTCATACCAAAAATCAGAAAGAGAACAGCAGTAAAGCACAACAACGATGATACTTTAATAAGAAGACTAGGAGGCAGAAGCAGCACAAGGAAGAGAGAGAGCCTAGATGCACATCCCTGTAGCAGAAGAAGAAAGATATCGAGATGGCGTAGTCAACTTAGTTTTAGCCTCTTCTTGAGCATGGGAGTCCTTTCAGGAGCCTAGGCCAGAGGCCACTCGCTGGCTTGCTGGATACGCGAAAATCAGCTGCAACCCGAGGTGGAGCCTGGTGACGCCAAAGCCCTGATCTCCCTCAGCCCCAGAAATTTGAAGAAAGCCCCCGGAAAGCTGCAGCATTTGTTCCAAGTCCAGAATTGCCTTGTCTGGGCCAAGGAGGCTTTGAAGCGGCTGACACTCCGTCAACGCCGTGAACCCATGCCTCGGGTGCGCAGAGTCCAAGAGGAATCCGCGTCTCACACGGCCATACTGTGTGCACTACCCCTAAACCCTTTTTGCAACTGGACTCCTACCCCTAAACCCTAAACCCTAAACCCTGACAACGGTTCCCCAATTAAGGGACCATGTAAGCTACCCTTAGATCTGGGAGCCATACGCCTCCCTTGTCGAGTGGCATGATGACAGACTGCTCGGTTTTCGCAATTTCTTCGAGCACGTCGTCCAAGCCCGAACTATTGGACTCGCTCAGTTTCTTGCATTCCTGGTGCCTCAGTGATGCTCACGTGCGGAAGGGCGAAATTGAAAAAAGCCGCATCGTGCAATGCCTCTGCCCCGGGCAGTTTGCACATCTCCATCAGCATCGCCGAGCAGGCCGTGGTAAACAGGGCTTTCATTGCATCCATGGCCTCACAAGCGATGCAAAGACTTTGGAGAGCTCGGGATACCCAGCAAATGCTCGAAGCGCCCCCGGCCGCAAAATCGGATCTCAGCACCGCGCCGTCCGACCAAGGAAAGCACGAAAGAGCCGTGTTAACAAAGCTGGCAGAAGAGAGTGAAGGCGCCTGCAGCAGCGATGGAAGTAACATGCATCCAATCATGGGCCAACGCGAAGCTGAGCAGCGCCTTAACGAGTCTCGGACAGCGTGGATGCAAGAGACCAGCACACGTGTTGGCGGGCATTTTGTGTCCACCAACTGTGTGATACGATCCTTGCTGTAGCCGAATCTGCGCATTTGATGTACTGTGCGGAGCCTTCATGGACATGCGTCCTATCTTCGTGCAGAAACACCAAGCTCCCTGCACAAAGATCTTCAATTCTGGCACTCACGAACTCGGGCAGCACGTTCTCATCAACTGCAGATCCAGATCCGGATCCTTACCGCATCTTGGCAAAAGCGGGAAAACTTCGGGGTTTGCTCCGCACATCTCTTTTTGCCGGACGAGTAACGAACCTCAAGCAGCTTCTGAAAACCTGAGGCCAGTTTGTTTTACTGGAATGCTGGCGGCTGCTTCTGCTTGTTTTAGCCCACGGCCCTCAACTGCATCGCAGAGCATCGGCACGTAGGTCTGTCAGGGGGATTGCTTTTTCGTGGTAACTTGGTTTCAACACTGGAGCAGGGTGAAGGCCCGCGGCCTCTGTAGCTCGCCGGCAGGCGCCATGCAAGGCCATGCTCTCAGGTCGCCGAAGTTCTTCCTGATCAAAACGGCTTCTCAATGTGCACACGCCGGAAAACATCACATCCCTCTCGACAGAATCTACGGGGCCTGGTCCTTCGTGAGCTCTTCTTCACCCGGATCAGGACCTTCAAGCATGGGAGTGCTGGGGCACGAATGGGCGCGATGGTGTTACTGCGGAAGTGGCCTGGAGCCTCCTCATGCGGACCGAAGCAGGCTGAAAGACTGCTTCGAAGCGCGCCACTCCTGGACCGGCAGATCTTTGGCGGCTGGGCGGCCGTCCCGCGCCATGGAAAGGCAACATGCCGATCTTCCAGTTTCAGTGGACAAGGGAAGAAAAGCAAAAAACCACCAAGAACAAGCAATCTAAAGCCATCCTTAGCCCCCCTAAGCCAGTTCTGAATCCATTTGAGCGTGTTTGCCGAGCTTTTGTGTTACTTTTCGCCGAATGCCATGGTCAGCTCTACACAGCGCACTTGCGCATCCTCCCAGTGAGGTACTCGCTGGAAACTTTGACCTGATCCTCCCCAAGATCCAGCAGGGTCACGGAGCCTCGTGGCGGACGGGAAGGGCCCCTTGCAGAAAGCTGTGGGGCGACGACCACTGCATCCGAAATCGTAGCTGGCTATTAGGATCCCATCAGCAATTTTGCAAATTCCCGTAGTCTTCGATCTTCACTACGGACCCGGATGCCAACTACCAAACAACCGCTCTCAGTGGAGGAGGGGCTTCTTGGAATCTCAGTGGAAGTTCAGTCAAGCAGCTGTTCACGGCTTCATCCACGGAGAGCTCCGGAGAGCGCAGGCGATCTTCCAGGGCCACACGGATGCGACCCATCTGCAGCTCAACCTCAGTCAAGACAAGAAGAAAAATGGGAAAGGCATGGAACAACAAGTGGGTGTGGATGTGGCAACTGTGCATATCTGTGCATGCCTTTGTCTGCGGCTCTCTCTCTTTTCCCTGTCCACACTTCTTGTCGCTTTCACCCGCCCTGGCCTCTTCCAGCACCTTCTGGAACGTGGGCATGTGCCTGCGGCACTCTGATACTGCCACATATCAGACAGAAACCAGGGCGCCAACTTGCTCTCCAAGGGCACCTGTACTGACGCAGGAAGCCGGAACAGCAGCCTGGGATGCAGCTCAAAGGAGCGGTGCTGCGGCGCATCGTTCCCCATAAGCACACCGAGCTGTCGTGCAGATCGGCTGCAGTAGGCTTCCACGGCTTCTCCGTAGGCCCTTCGATCGAGGCACTTCTGAAGCGTTGCAGGAAGCTCGAAAAGCACCTCGCCGAAGGTTCCATGATGCACTTCTGCGCGCGGCGCTCGGCACTGCACTCCGCACTGCACGGCAACGGGCCGGATGAGGCCTGCAGCTTGCGACACACGCGCTGCCTCAGTAAGTCCGCAGGTCTTCCAGACGTTCACATGTCAGTTCAACCAAAACGAGTGAGTCCCTTAAGGAGGGGACTGCTTCAGCAAGTCCTCGATCCGCCCGGCTCTGCCTGATGTTCCATCTTCAACCTTCTTCTGGTGTTCTGTTATCCTCTCCACACAAAGTATCGCACAAGCTGCAGCGCTTCACCACTGCGGAACTCGAATCGGTCCTGGAGACATTCCCGTCCAGCACTTTCAGGTCAGGATCCAGTCCCTCTATCGTGAACTTCATCTGCTTGATAACATCCTCAGACAGCACAGCGTAGCTACATTCTGCAGATGGGACAAGTCGATGCACAGAAAAGTCTGAAATGCACCGGGGGTCCGTTGCTCGAATGAACTTGCTGTAGTTCCTTATGTCGACACGCAGATGTGTGCAAAGTGTCTGCTGGGCGCAGAACAAATGCTGCTGAAAAAAGTTGGGCAGGATGCTCATAAACTAACATTTGCATGTCGCCATCAAGATCCTGTGGGAAGAAGTGCCACGGTGTCAAGGAAGGCAGAGCTACCACATCCCTTCTAGGCAGTGGTGCACTTTGCAAGTGGTGTCCTTGATCTCCGCATCGAGCTCGTTGGCTCGCTTGACTAGCTCTGGCAGTTGACCGGAGGATACAAGGCCATCAAAGTAGCCTCGGGCAGGAGCTTCTCAACAGGCGCGGCCTCCTCACCAACCAGTTTTCTCCAAGCCACGCTTTGCATCAAAGCCAACCTTGTCGAGATCACTACCGCCGGGAACAGCCACTGCTGGATCCTTCTTCTCCGTACCCTCGATGTGGTAATACCTTTTCGGTTCTGCAAGGCGTTGCGCTGCTTGCACTGGCTGAGCGTACAGTGTATGTATGTGCGTTTCTGCATGTCTGTAAGTATACAGTATACATGAGGCGTACATCTATAAATGTTCTGATGAACCTCATGCTTTGGCACAATTTCAGGTTCAAGCCACGCATTCAGAAGCGCTCCGACCCGTCGCCGCTCGCGCGGCGGACGACCCTCCATGGCTTCCAAGATCACCCTGGAGGAAAACTAGGCGCAGCAGTGATGTCGTGATATTGTTCAGGTCCTTCCGGCGGGCTTAGTTTACGTGCTCGGTCTGCTGTTTGCACGTTGTGCCATAATACGTGTTCAATGTGAGATGTTCTCGGCGAGTGGATCCGAGCCCAGAGGTCAACAGCACAGGCTGAGGAAAGGTGCTGCATGGTGCAGCCGGCGAGCACGGCGAGATGCACGGATCACTGCAATCATCTGCGGCCCCTGCGTCACCATCTTCTGGGGTCGACCACATCTTTCAGCAGCATCGAATGCCTCCAACATGCCATGAACACAGCGCCGCTCGGCTGCTGATGCTGAAGCTGACAGTCAGCCTGCACGTACGAGCTGCGAGAGCCCTTTGTCATGGGAATGATCGCGTGACGCACAACCTGGGCGATCATTGCGGCGGATTTGTGAGGTTGCACATTACCTACAGTTTCTGTACTTCCGAAGGTGCAGCCCGAGAGGCATCGCCAGTGGTATGTACGCTTGGCTTGTAGTGCGGCATGACATCCCGCAAAGTTCCTGAGCTTGATCACTCGGGCGGTGGCATGTGCTGGGGGGCATCAGAAGCATCCCAACATCACCCTCGCGGTTTTTGAGTGATTCTCAAGCTTTGCCACCCAAGAGCTGTAGAAATGCAGCAGCTCCTTGACTGTTATGCCGCGCCCGGCAATCTCACTCACCTTCATGTCCCAGGCCGTCGACGATCTGTCAAGCTCTCCTGACAGCAGCAGCATCACCTCTGCGTGGCTCATCGCCTTGTCATGCAACATGTCACTTGCGCCGGAGCGGCGGCCGGATGTCGCTTCAGGCAGCCTGAGGGCTTCACTCTGCTCTTCACTGCAAGTGATGGTGTTATCAATCAAGCCCTAAACCCTAAACCCCGAACCCGCCCTAAACCCTAAACCCGAAACCCTACACCCTTTGCAAGCTGGACGTAAACCCTGCACCCTAAACCTAAACCCTGTTTTTCCTATCCCCTAGCCCAGGCGCATGGTGTCTGTGGAGTCTGCGGTGGCAAACTGCCAGCTGCAAGGCCTTACCAGCAAAACCAGCGGAGGGATGAAAGCACACGGTTTCCTGCTTCCCCAACAGCTTCTGGACCCTTTTGATCTCCGGCACCGCATCGGCACACTAAACCCCCCCCCTTCTTTAAATGCGGCATCCACTGAGCCCCAAGGCGGGGCCCCTAACCCCACATTTTTCGAGTGGCTGATGGGCGCGTCGGTGTCGGATAGGCCAGCGGTAGCCACCAGAGAGGATGAGGGCCGCGGAGACGCATGTGAGCAGATCCAGGGCCTGGTTGTGGCTGAGGCTCTCCCTAGTAACCCTAGTATAGGCGCGCACGTGCAGTAAGCGAAGCAGTCACGAAACACAGATATGTCTACATCTCTGCCTTTTCAGTGTGGTCGCTGTGTTGGTTTGTCTGGAAAGGGGGAAGAAGCTTATGATGCATGTGTTGCTTAAGGGCCTGGGCTTCCCTGGCACTTAGTATGCAAGAGAGTGCAAGGAGAAGGCCTGGAAGGAGCAGCTGATGGCCAAGTCCGGCTCACTTCGGTAGCCCCGGCCATCCAGGAGTTTCTCCACTGCCACTGGGAGCAGAGCGGAGCCTGTCGTTTTTGTTGCTCGTATTCTTTTAAAGCAAGGGGCGGCTGATGCAGAAGTACATCAATGGACCACTAGAGAAATCACAGACCATGTTTCGTAAAACATATGTAAACACTTGTCGTTTCGTGAGAATGCATTGCTTCAGCCTTCACCGAAGGACTCAGGCCGCCAGAAACCGATGCAGCAAGGATGTCCGAGCTTCCACGCCACAACACACACAACACAACACTTGGAAAGACATGGGCCACGTCGGCAGCGAGCTCTAGCACAGGCTGGGAACTCGCCACCAGATGTAGCATGACACCGAAGAGCTGCCGTCCGACAACAGCCCTTGCGCGCCGAAGCTGCTGACGAGCACGCCTGCTCACTACACTTCTACACTTGCAAGCAGCTTGCAAGCAGAACATAAGCCCCAAGTGGACAAGCACGCCACAAACTGCCTCGTTCGTGGGTGTGTCGCCACCAAATCGTTCGTGATGTGCACAGCCTGGAAGCCACACTTACTTTTTGCCACTGATGAAGGTTGCATACCAAGATGTACCAAGGCGGAGGCGCGGCCCAGATCCCAGAGGATCACTGACATGATGCTGATGACCGTTATCTGAGCTGCACGTGCTTGCAAGAGAAAAATCAAACCAGGAGGTGCAAAAGCAAAGCACCAGGCTCCCGTGACCACAAAGAGCAGGAAGTTCATGCCCCCCAGGAAGAGCTGCAGCGTCATCACGTTTGTGAAAGGAGCGCCTGTAGCAAAGCTCCGAGGTCGAATCACAAAAACGGACATGGAGCCTGCTTGCAGTTCAGTCGCATTCAGCGCAATCGCTCCAGAACTTTATATGTACTCCGCTCGTGCTCTCGCCGGCCTGGCACATCCCGCATCGTCACACATTCCTTGCCTTCCTTGCCATATTGGCGAGGGGCTTCCATGAGAGAGAGAGAGAGAAAAATAAAATAACAATAATAATAATAATAATAATAATAATAATACTAATAATAATAATAATAAAGCAAAAAAATTTTAAACGTTCATGGATGAAGTCCGGCGAGAGTAGATGCTTGCCATATCTGCAAGGTGATTTAAAGAGTCTGGAAGGTAGCGATGTAAGGAGGGGAGTGAGAGGGGAGAGGGGAGAGGGGAGAGGGGAGAGGGGGAGGGGAGAGGGAGAGGGGAGAGGGGAGAGGAGAGGGGAGAGGGGAGAGGGAGAGAGGGGAGAGGGGAGAGGGGAGAGGGGAGAGAGGGGAGAGGGGAGAGGGGGGAGAGGGAGAGGGGCGAGGGGAGAGGGGAGAGGGGAGGGAGGGGAGAGGGGAGAGGGGAGAGGGGGGAGAGGGGAGAGGGGAGAGGGGGAGAGGGGAGAGGGGAGGGAGAGAGGGGAGAGGGGAGAGGGGAGAGGGGAGAGGGAGAGGGGAGGGAGAGAGGGGAGAGGGGAGAGGGGAGAGGGGAGAGGGAGAGGGGAGAGGGGAGAGGGGGAGAGGGGAGAGGGGAGGGGAGAGGGGAGAGGGGAGAGGGGAGAGCGGAGAGGAGAGGGGAAGAGGGGAGAGGGGAGAGGGGGGAGGGGGGAGGGGGGGAGGGAGAGGGGAGAGGGGGAAATGGTCCGGGAAGTACAAAGAAAGGTGCAGTTGCAGGTGGCCTCGAGTCCAGTCATCTCATCTGAGCTTGGCTGAGACGGACCAATGGATGTGTAGATCCTAGGTGAGAGCGGGAATTGTATGAGCCTTCTGAAGTGATTCGTAAACAAATCTTCCACTCTGAGTCTTTTGAGGCAAGGCTCCAGACGCTCACAGCACATGCAACTGTTGCTGCGACCTTCTGCACCGCGATGCCCAGGGCAAGGCACCTGCCCAAGTCCAACCCATCAAGTAATTGACGTTCGAAACTTGTAGGGGCAAGTTGTTTGTGCTGTGGAAGTGGGCCCCGTCAGCTATCAAGACTGAACATGTGAGTCCACAAGAGCGGTGGCAACCACAGCGGAAAGCAACAGCTTGTGCCCGCCCGAGCACCTTCCGCCAAAGAAGCGTCGTGATGTGGCCTCCACTGCCAAAACCTAGGAGTGCGGAGCCCTTCTGTTCGGTCTGGTTTGTGCTGGGGATGTTGTACTGCTTCAACTGACGCAAGAGACCGAAACAACACAATTCGAGAGCGGCCTTCCGCCTCCTCTCAATGTCCCAAACCCCCACGTCTTCCAAGAATCGACCGAAACCTAACAAAATGAAAAATTTTGAGGGTCTCTAGGACCGGAAACACAACAGCTTAGAACAGCACACCAGCGTTGTGTCATTTTCAGGCTCTTAAAAACATTCGGACGGCACCATCGTCAGAAGAAACTAGTTACCAGTTCCCTTTTCACATGTTTCACAGCTTTGAGCGATGCGAGTGCCGAAGAGAACTGTGCGGAGTGATGGACAAAAACCGCACCAGTCGGCTCTGCAAAAGCCGGAGAAACTGCAGAATCTCTTCTGTCATCCAGCCCTCATGCTGCCTCTCGTGCCGGCGGCACCTTCTAAGCTCTTTGGTTGCAACCAAGGCACTCTCCACACCATCAAGTGCTGCATCCAGATCAGGGTTGCAAGGAACAGGAGTGTACGAACAATGATCACGCCATAGTAATCCTTGTAGTAATCCGCCTTGTCATAGCTGCTCAACTCCTGCCAGGGCTTCCTCACAAGTCCTTTGACCGAACTTGCAAGCCGTGGCATCCGCTCTCCTGCGGCGCAAAGATTCGCTGCATCGTGCCGTACGCACAGCCGCTCTTGGCCCGCTCGTGGGCTGGCAGAATGGTCGCAACCAGCCCCTGGAACCAGCATAGGAGAGCCAAGCCTGCCAGAACATTCTCACATCCTCTCACACGCTTCTCACATCCTCCCACACTCTTCTCGCATCCTCTCACGCTCTTCTCCCCAAAACTTTACAGAAAGGGCCACAAGGTTATGGAGAAAAAAGGCGCCCATCGCATGCACGACACGGGGGGCACGTGTGGAAGCTAGCCGCCCATTCTGCCGAGGCGCCTGAAGCCGAAAGGATGTGCGCCGAACCGCCAGCATTGCGAAACATGAGGCAGGCGGCAACACCTGCGATGCCGCAACTTACGGCCACTTTTATCGAAGCTTCTGCTGCAAAGCTTGCTTCGGCGGGTTTCCTGCCGCTACTAAAGGCAGTCCCTTCCGGCACCCCCAGCCTGCAAATGCTGCAACACACAAGATCAAGTAGAAGCCAAAGTGGTCGACCTTATTTGCTCATGTGATATCACGTGGTGCACTCAGGTGGCCTTGGGATCCTCTGACACTTTCTGGACGCAGGTGACGTTTCATGTCAGGCAAGCTGCAGCACTGCAGCCGAGGTTGTCCAAATGGGCTGACGGATTGTCCCTGCGCCACGCGATGGTTGCCTCGTGGTCTCTCGGCGCCATGACCACAGCGTAAAGTGCCGTGACCTGGTCAAGGTTGGCATGGCGCATTGTAATTGCAAGCCCGGCACGGAAACAAAGGCTGCCGAAGCACAACAAGCACAGTAGTAGCCAGGGCCGAGAACAGCAACCAGTCTGCACAGTGACCTCGTCTGTGGAAATTGCCACACGTGACCAAACACAATGTTCACATAGATACTAACGAAGGAAGGTGCGCTGCTGCTCGTCAAGGCACCATCACTCAATTCAAGCAATGTCCTGGCGCCACTTTCAGCACTGCACCGCACCGCCGAATGCATTTCGCAAAGCAGTCCTCACCCCAATGCTCCACTTCCGGACACCAGCGAAGGCGGTCTCGCCAGAAGCATTAGAAATTCCAGCCTCAAATGGCAGATGCATGTTAGGGCAGAAACCCCCTGAACCCAACAAACGCGCCTTGGGACTCCCTCCTTCTCAGGCCCTTGCTTCGCAGCCACCGCCTGCCATGTAAAGTTGAAGCCGCTCCCCCACACGCGCGCTATGAAGATGCTATTCTTTTGAAGATTCAGGATTTATCTTTGGGTTTGTGGTTGTGAAGTTGCGACTCGAACTCCGGTGAGACCTTCAGGCTGTCGCCTTCATGTACGCTTACCAAGTGGGAGGGCTCTGTGTGTCCAGGGCTTGGTCATGGAACAGGGTAGTTTTCATGTGGGTAGTTTTCATATGCTTCACAAGGTTCGAGGGTAGCTTGTAGCAAATGCCGTATCCCCCGCACACGTGCCAAGTACTGTCCGTCTCAAACTGCGAACTGCAGCCCGTGCCAACAACAGCTCTTCAACAACCAGTCCGAAGAGGAGAGCTTCGAGACAGAAGGAGTGGAAGGAATGCCCTGGAACATCCAATCGCCCTCAGACCTTGTTCTCTTCGCCATGCCCGAGCTAAGTAAGGAGCAGCTGGAACCGTCAGATTGGATTGGGGCGAGCCTTGGATTCAAGAGCACACACACACACATCAAAGGGAGCGACATGAAAAAGGAAGCAAGAACAAGTCTGACAAAAACACATGAGAACAATGTCTGGTCAGCACTGGTGGCTGGGTGTGAACTGGTAGGGCGCAGCCTCGCCATACCAGCAAGTGAATGCAACAATCAGACCGCATCACTCGTCTGTTTTTGGAAACTCTCACATCACACGAGATGAAAGCCCCTAAACCCTAAACCCTAAACCCCAAACTCCAAACCCCTGCTCAGGCTGCCACACTCTTGGCGGATGACTTCGAGGATTCACGAGCGGGAGCTGGACGGCCGAGCACAGTCGGAAGGTCAGGGGCGACATCCACGCCACACCCGATACCTCTGCAAAAGACTCCCAGCAGCACGAGGAGACGCGCACGAACACTCTGCAATCTGAGGGCTACTTCAGAGGACCCTACATTGTTGTCATTGACACAAGGCTACTTTAGGCCGCTGGTACTCGTGCGAGTTGCCCGTACTTACGGACCGACATTTCAATCTCTAACGATCCTAAGCAACCACTCGCATCCCATTCGGGGGGCACCAACTATGTCCCAGCTTTTGCGTTTACAGGCGCTCATGTTGCATGGAGTTTCAGGGCATGTCAGCCTAGGGCAGGTCGGCAAGCCCGGTTAAGCAAGAGGGTTTGTCCACCATTTTGCACGGAACCACAACTGGGCAGGCCCGCCAGCGGAAAACCGGCATAAAGGCAAGACAGCGTGCCATCCTCGCTGAGGCTCATGCAAAAAAGCGCTTCCCCCGAAGATCCCTCTTCAAGGTACTAAGCCAGGCAGACAACATCGCCTCTGCGTTGGGCAATGCGCAGTCGCGTGCTAAAGCAGCAGGCACACTTCTCCGCAGATCCCTCTATGGATACTACGTGCACAACGCGACCCATGCGCTCCGGGGACTCACTCATTCGCCACCGTTTCCTGTGAAAAGGGGAATGGCAGGTTCGGGCCATTCACCTGCAAACAGGTCCCTGTCGCTGTGCCCTCGGAGTAAAGGGGTGAAGACCAAAGCTCCGGTCATCACCAATTATGGACGAGGGGGCAGCCTAGGGCTGCAGGGTTTTTTTGTGTCTAGGGTTTCGGGCCTGAGAGTCTAGGGCTTGCATGCTTTTGCGCTTCGCTCCCACACGGGGCCTCCGGGATAGCTCCTCTCTCGAGGAACAGTCAGAAACGGAAATGACGTGGAGCCATCCTGTGCCTGACCACATTTGCATCATCGCACTGGACAGTCAACGGCCAACAACCAACAAACCTTGCATCGCACCAAAGCCTCGACATCCAGCCAAGGAAGGGGCCACGGGCTTCGAGCGTGTAGTGAGCTCCTGCTCTGTTTCGCAACATGCTTTGAGACTGCGTTCGGACCTGCGACGGCCTGTGGCCTAATCCGATGTGGACACGGCATGACACGGCCACGCCTGCTGGTAGAGTCTGTCGCATCCGGTGACTCGGCCTGGGGTCCCAAGAAAGCGGAAACAGCACCGTTGCAGTTGCTGCCACTCGCCTGCAGCCTTGCCGCATCTTGCCGCAGTGTTTATTTGCCGCAGGCACAATACCACTAATCAGAACAACCGGCAGCATACTAATCAGAACAATTGGCAGCATACTCATCAGAACAATTGGCAGCAGCAGTGTAACACATGTAACACGCATGGCCTGTGTGCCTCAGCTGCTCGCGGACAGCAATAAGGGAGCTAACCAGTGCTGTGGTGGAAGCGGCAGCATGTTACTTGCGCCTCATGTCGACCTCTTTTTGTCAGCAATCAACAACAATAATATACCCGATTCGATTGAACTGCGGCGGGGGCATCGCGTGCAAACATCACAGCCATCGGCTGCAAGACTGGACAACAAAGCCACTCATTAACTTTCTGCTTGGCAAACCCGACCCACTTTGTAATGGCAAGCCGCTCCCGTGCTGGCAGACATAGGGCTCTGCACGACCGCAGTCAGATACTTCGACGACTCCATCGTTATGCTGTCTGACTCCAGAACAGTCGTCTGCGCCTGGTACCAGAGCCAGGCACGATCCCTTCGGTACCCCAACACCAAGAAACGTTTTGAGGCTAGACCGAACATCCCAACACCCCCAAGCCGAATCGAAGCTCTTGGGAGAGATTGGGGAAGTCGTTGGGTTTGGGAGTATAGGGTCTGCTGGGTGACCTTCTTCAGGCAAGGAGCTGGAGAACTGGGCTCTGCATCAGCTGGTGCACTCATCAACACCCTTGGCCAGGAGGCAGACATGCAGAGAACTCCTGATGCTGCTTTCTGCTTGGGTGTGACGCATAAGTTGAATCCAGCAGCGAAGCTGATCTGGATTGGCAACCCACAACCGCGGGTCTTGGAGGCCGCACTTGTTGGTAGCTTCGCAAGACCAATGCCGAATCCAGAGTCTATAAAGATTCACGTCTGACAAATCCTAGAGTAACCGATACGAACATCTCCTCCGAAAGTCAACACGCCTTGCTCTGGATTCAGCGGCACGGAACTGTTGCGCTGTACAATGAGTCCCAGTCGGCAGAATGCCGGCTATCTGCACAAAGGCTGCGGCGCAGCTGATAGACATGGACATGCACAAGACTGCACAAGAGCACCTTCCCAAGAGCAAACAAGGGCACTCACGACATACCATCGAAACGACCATGGGGCGAGGGAGTGGCACCTTCTGCTCACGGCACGCCGTCGCCCACCAGATTTGAAGATGATATCAGCAGCTACATAATGAATCCTCCTCTGAGCCAACCAGCCGGCCATGGAAACGAAACATGGTTATGCTATTTTGCAGCCACATGGCTGACGCAGGAGCGGGTCACAGCTTCCTGCACTGTCTGCTCGAGGCTCTGATATACTACTGAACCCCTGCTAAGACGGCAGAAAGCTGGGTCTTGATTGTTTCTGCTGGGCGGATCTCGTGTATTCGCCCCTCACTCAGACCGACATGAAAAACACCGCTGCGGACTTGTGCAATCTGACCATCCACCAGAATCTCTGAGTCCGGCCATGGCGATTGCACAAGGAAGTCCTTAGTTAAATCCAGCTAACTGAAGATCTGCCATGGGTTTGTCCCACTGCCGATCTGGTGTGAGCAAGGGGCGGTGCGCACAACAGTCGGACCCATATCCAAGTCTGTTTCCAGCGTTGGCAATTGCATTTTCAACTCCTTGGATGGGATTCTGCAGGCGGTCATGCTCTGAGCCACTTCTCACGTGTAATAAGCACACTGGGGTCACCGGAGTGCTGATGGTTTTTCACCACGCTGCGGTCACGAAGCCTGACGCCATTCTACTTGCCGCCACCAGGACTGGCCCGGGAGCTCGGAGGTAGAAAGAAGCTGCCATGCCCAGAGGCAGGGAGGGGAAGACCTGCCAGGACGCTGCCCGGCACCACGCAGCACAAACTTAATTGCAGAAGGCACCAAACACGTCAAAGCCGGCTGGTGGCCTGTTACTTGCTACGTTGCTCACTCACGATGCGACTCGTTGCTTGTGTTACGATACTCAGACAATCCGTCCATCTGTGTGCTTCCAGTCTTTCCGCCGAATATTCGCCATTCTCGGAACACATGCTACACTAGGCGATGGAGCACGAAGCGCACACAGCCTTCAGACAGCCCTAACCTGCCTGCAGCACCCCTGCCGACATCTGCAGGAGCAGCTCAGAGGCAAAGGCAGCGCCACCCACATTCTCCTGATTGCACTTTCTGCCAAACGAAACGAAGCAGGAGAGTATGATATTCACGCAGGTGTAGGTGTAGGTGTAGGTGTAGGTCTAGGTCTAGGTCTAGGTCTAGGTCTAGGTCTAGGTGCAGGTGCAGGTGCAGGCGTAGGTGTAGGTGTAGGTGCTGGTGCTTGTGCTTGTGCTTCTGCTTCTGCTTGTGCTTGCGCTTGCGCTTGCGCTGTGTTTGTGTTTGTGTTTGAGTTTGTGTGCGTTTGAGTTCTGCTTGTGTGCTTGTGTGCTTGTGTGCTTGTGTGCTTGCGTGCTTGCGTGCTTGCGTGCTTGTGTGCTTGTGTGCTTGTGTGCTTGTGTGCTTGTGTGCTTGCGTGCTTGCGTGCTTGCGTGCTTGCGTGCTTGCGTGCTTGCGTGCTTGCGTGCTTGCGTGCTTGCGTGCTTGTGTGCTTGTGTGCTTGTGTGCTTGTGTGCTTGTGTGCTTGTGTGCTTGTGTGCTTGTGTGTTTGTGTGCTTGTGTGCTGGTGTGCTTGTGTGCTTGTGTGCTTGTGTGCTTGCGTGCTTGCGTGCTTGCGTGCTTGCGTGCTTGTGTGCTTGTGTGCTTGTGTGCTTGTGTGCTTGTGTGCTTGTGTGTTTGCTTGTGTGCTTGCTTGCGTGCTTGTGTGCGCTTGTGTGTGCTTGTGTGTGCTTGTGTGTGCTTGTGTGCTTGTGTGCTTGTGTGCTTGTGTGCTTGCGTGCTTGCGTGCTTGTGTGCTTGCGTGCTTGCGTGCTTGCGTGTTTGCGTGCTTGCGTGCTTGTGTGCTTGTGTGCTTGTGTGCTTGCTTGTTTGCTTGCTTGTGTGCTTGTCTGCGCTTGTGTGCGCTTGTGCTTGTGCTCGTGCTTGTGCTTGTGCTTGCGCTTGTGCTTGTGCTTGTGCTTGTGCTTGTGCTTGTGTTTGCGCTTGCGCTTGTGCTTGTGTTTGCGTTTGTGTGTGTGTGGGCGGGCGCGCAGTATGTACACTGCTACCCATGTTTATTTAAGCCAAGTTTATCCGAGACGCTAAGCCGGTTCCACCGCAACCCAGCACCATGCCGTTGTTGTGAAGCCGACACTTTGGATCTGACCTTCACCACAACCGGGCTTTTCACAGGCGGGCTTGGGGCCTTGAACACTGCTGAAGTCCGCGCGTGTTGGTAAGGTACGCTTCCCAGTCCTGAAATGCGTGGAGTATGACAAGGCAGAACTGCTGGACCCATTGTGCTATCAAGATCCATCATGATCCATCCGTTGGGCTTAGTGCTTCTGAACGTGTGAACGAGACGGCTGCTGTGAAGACCAAGAAGCCTTCAGCGCCGCTTCAGGTCTCCACCCCACCCGCGCGGCAGCAGCGAACACGTGAGGGAAGCTGTTGCCCTGCTTGCCCCCAGGCCACTGCTTGAAGAACCGAGCCTCCAGACGACATCTCAACAAATCTGGCATAGACTCGTAGAGTACTGAAGGCAGCTCAACTCCAAGGCATCACTCCCTCTAGGTAGTTCTTGCTCGATCTGGTACCTACGGACTCCCATGTCACAGATGTTCATGCTCCCGCAGTGCACCAGCGACCGGTGCACCAGGTCCAACGCTCCCTTGTCGCTTCGCCTCAGGGCTGCAAAGTCGAGTACCTCCATTTAGGGTTTAGGGTTGAGGGTTTAGGGTTTAGGCTTTAGGCTTTAGTGTTTCGCCACCCGCGCTGCACGCACATCCAGCGCCCGCATCCAGGGTTTAGGGTTTAGGGTTTAGGGTTTAGGGTTTAGGGTTTAGGGTTTTTTTTGGCACCCGACTAGCCACAGGGTTTAGGGTTTAGGGTTTAGGGTTTAGGGTTTAGGGTTTAGGGTTTAGGGTTTAGGGTTTAGGGTTTAGGGTTTAGGGTTGGATCGAACTACGCTCAGCGATGGTAGTTTGCCTGCAGCCGTGATGCTGATGGACAGTTCCCAGGGGAAAAGCAGCAAACAGGCCGCCCCAGGCAACTGAACCACCTGGGCATCAACTTGCTGCACCACAAAGCTAGCGGTCACTAGAAAGGCTCCAGGCACATGTACTGTAGTGGTATCGGTTTCGCTAAGCTGCCTGAGTGGAGCCGCAACTCCAAACCATGCTTTGTCTCGCCACCGTAGAAGTCGGCTATGACTTCCTGTCCGTCGACGACCTTGAAGCAACAACTCGTGTTTGTGATTTCTGCACACCTTGGCGGCGACAACCCTGGCCCGTAAACTTTAGCCGGTCACATCCTTCCCCACCTCAGTGGCATATGGAGCAATGCGTCCAGCCATGGTCCGCCAGCGCTGGCGTGTCTCCAAAGACTCGGCGTTGAGAAGCTCTGCCACCTGCTCGACATACGCGTTCGTGCGAGGCAAATACAAGTACTAGTAGCTTGCACAGAACATGCTAAAGCTCACAGGCAAAAACGCGCAGTCTGCAGAGAAGCTTGTGTTGTACATGTGCAATCTGACATTCGGCCAGCAGCTTGCAAAACCCTTTTTTGGCACTCGCACAGGAGATGGAAACAAGCCAGGCCAGGTCCCTTTGCCACAGTTGCTTCAACTGCAGAACTGAGCTGGATTCTTGTGGAACGCTGCATACTTTAGTTTGGCCTCAAGCAGAACAAGCCCGGGAAACATTCGATCCACTTCGCAGGCGCAACCTCCCACGATCAAGAAGTGCACGAACTCGCTTGAGCTTCTTGCAAGCTCGCACTGTGTACCTGGCAATTCAGGCGCGAACCTATCAAAAAGTATGAGGATGCAAGCTGCTGAAATTGCCTGTGCGTCTCTCCGAACAACACCTGCAGATTCTGCACCGCTTCCTCTTGAAGGAAGGCTGCCCGAGCCAGCATGCGGCGCTGCATGGAGGCATCATGCCTCAGAGAGAGGGTGCTTTTGTATGCTTTTGTGAACCGTGTGTTTAGATGGAGATTTTCAGAACTGCAATCACAGCGCCACAAAAAGGAAGCCAAGAAGCCGCTTGCCGGAATGCTGCTTGTCCTGCCCATCAGACAGATGGCGGTACAGTACCGTCACTACTGCAATCAGGTGCTTCATGCTCAGGTTCGGGCAGTCAGTGCTTTGTATCTGCGAAGCAGCAAGCGGGAGCACTTCTGCATGGTCCACGCACGAGATGCATTCCTGCTGCACAGAAGCTTCCAATGAACACACAAGGAGCTGTTTGAGGCAAGGTTCGGCCAGGGAAACATCTGCCGCTGGCAACCTCAACTAGCATCTAGAATCTAGAGTCTGGAGCCTCATGAAATCTCCTGCCAGTGCTGTTACAGAATTGCGCGGGGGCATGGATGCGAATGAACTCGAATGCTGGCATGCACTGCTGCACTTCGGTACTGCCAAGCTGCCAAGGCGTCTCTCCAACCACTTCAACGCCTGGTCCGCCTGGCCCTGTGAGTCATACCAGGGAGCCATGTAGGCACCCAGGCGCTCACACAGCCAGTGCTGTGGCCCCAACGCGCCACAGGCCTGCAGCTGCATCTACAAGTTCTGATATGTCCCCCGATCCTCGGTCCCCCCGACGCGCGCCTGGTCTCCCACAATCTCCTCCAGCTGCCTTTTGCCGCACTTAGCAAACATATGGCCATGAAAAGCGCAAGGAAGAGGTGCGTTAATGCTCAGGCGCGCTGCATCACATCTAATTGCGCATGTTGGGCACCCGCTGCCACTGGCTGCAAGCTTGCTTTGCGGAACATGACATGGAAGACCCAAACAGTGCCCGAAGCGCTCTGCAAGCTCCCTTAGGGGGAGAAGCGGCCTGGCATCTTCTTCTGTCAAGAGCTCTTCGACCGGTGTCGTGCCACAAGCCTTTGCAAAGGTGCTGCCAAACATCGTAAGCAAAGCTCGTGTCTGTGCGGCAAGGACCTGGTCCAGTGACTGCAGCCGGAGGCGGAGTTGCTTCTCTGTGTCCTGAGACCAATAACATTCCAACCCTTGTGCTGCTGGACTGCTACCGGGGCTCGGGGTCGTTGATGCTTTGAGAAAATGAGCTATCCCCATACCTTAACTACTGGGGCCACTCAGGCAACAGGAAACGAGTTGCCGAGATTCCAGCATTCCAGCAGCATGCTCTCCCACATTCCGCGTGCACGTGGGACAGCTTGTCCGGGCGAGCCCCTGGACTTTGTAAGGTCATGTAAAGTCGGTGATCAAGGACCCTTGTCCGGTTAAAAAGCGTTCATTCTTAATGGCACAACAGAAACTCCATGCCACAAACCTTCTGCCAGCCAACCTCTGCACGAATGGCGGCGCTCTGCAGAGGCGGGAATACGTGACCTCCACCTGTCGCACAGCATCACACAGCTCCATTCATTCTCGGCCAGCATCTGCTTGCCGCTGCGCTGCAATGCGGGCAGCGGAACCCTCGGCACAGGTCCACGGGCTGCGTGCCCGCGGCCGTGTGCTCATCGCCTGGCAACACATCGAAGGCATATCTAAAACTGGCTGGCAGGTGGCAGTTGATACTTGGTCGGGAGAAGCTGAGTTCCAGACAGCGCTCACAGGAACAATCGAAAAGCTTTGTTTTCTTGAGGGATCTCTTCCGGTGAGATGCACTGAACATCAGTGCGTCCTGGGGCTGCGCGAGGAGCTAAGAGAACTGGGTTGCTGTTACGGGGCCAATGTGCAGAGCTCCTCTGACAGATACGAGATGCAAATCTCGTCGCCCTTGGAAATGTCCATGCGGGCTCTGACCACCTCCAGCTTGGCTCGCATTGTTTGTGAGTGGCAACAGCTATCAGCTGCAAGCACAAGACAGGACAGCCGCAATCAAACGAGCCAAGTCCGCATGCAATGCATCTGCGCCCTCATGCCAAATGGCATTTGGTCTGCAGGAGTGCGACCTCATGTCCGAACTAAGGGGGGTGGGCGTTTCCTGCTTCCAGGCCCTACGCTTCAGCAGAGGAATCATAGGAATCATCGGAATGGAGCTCAGCTGCATGAAGGAGGAAACGAAGTAGGCAGAGTAGCCCTCTGGGGTCTCGGAATGCTCCTTGGCTGCCAAGTTCCAGCAGCTTCCCAGAACATGGGGCAAAGTGAAAGGCAAGGCTCAAAGCAGTTTAGAATCCAGAGCCTCAGGGCGAGGTCGGTGCTACGGCACCCTGGGCTTGGCCAGAAACATTCCAACCATTCAACACCTCGTTCCCCCCGCCAGGCCGCCTCAGGAGCTCCTCTACCTTGGCAGAGGGCACCGTCAATCCCAACTCTGCCACCATGCATGCCACTGCGGCACCTTGGCTTCGGATCTTGGGGGAGGGGAGGGGGGGGGAGGCTTAAGGCTTATGGGGAACGGGCACCGAAGCGTGGAGACTTGCAGGAAAGCATCTGGCTTCCAAGACTGGCTCATGGTACAGGCAAAGAAGCTGCTTCTGCTGATCTCTCCTTGACGAGCTTGGGAGTCATAGCTGTTTGAATGACTAGGTTTATCACTTGCCATGTAGTATTACGGATCAATGTCTATAGCATGAGTATACGTTGGTCCCTGTAAAACCATGTTAATTAACTGCGATGTTTTTCTGTACATGTACACATATATATATATATACACACTTGCAAGGCTGTCAGATGCAGAGAACATGGAAGCAAAGCAACACTAGTTCTGCCGTGCGTCGAGACTGGTTGCAGACACCCCACCTTTGGAGGTGTCCTTAGGTCGTCGGCCGTCAGGGAAGAGAACGCCGCCCAATACCACAGCGGCTTGTAGGCCACATCCTGGACTCGAACAGTGAGGAGATGTGCAGAACTTTGAGAATCCGAAAACAGCCGCCTCGCGTGTCTCACAGACTCGCGTGATGACCTTGAATGCCTCGTTGCTCTCATCGGCCACCACAATATGCAGAGGTGGTTCCTGCTTGAGCTTTCTGCGAAGTGTGACAGAGGATTGCTGAGTGTAGGCACATCGGCCGTCAAGGGCTATGCATAGGCCGTCCGGCATGAAATCCAGCTGCACTTTCAAGACCGAGCTCAATGGCCCCTCCTCGAAAACCAAGTCCCCTTTCTTGAAGGGCCGCTTGGCCCTCAAGATTCGGCCTTTACCTCGGGTCCCCAGCACTGCCCGCCAAACGGTACCAGGCAGTGATAAAAACAAAACGCAGGATCTAACCGTCTTCGGCCCAAGTTCTCGCTGACAGCTCGCCTCGGCTGTGAGGCCCTTGTTTCCGCTGATGTCTCACTGAAGGGACACATTGAGTACATGCACCGAGACGCACTCCACTTTTCCTTGGAAGAGATCTTGGCAGCGCGAGTTGATGTACTCCACCGACCACTCTTCCATGATTGAGCTCGGCTACATGTCTTTTCCAAAACTCAATTATTGAGTGGGGGCAAGCTCATGGTGATTTTTTGGCGCAAGCAGGGGCCAAAGCTTTTCAAGGGAAGCCTGAGTCGGCAAAGGCTGCTAGCAATGACAAGTGAAGGCTTCCAAGGGTACTTGAGCCCGTCTGAAGCATGAAGGAGGGGCCCACCAGCTTCCGAAACAGGGGACAAAAGCCCGTCACACCTCCGCCGCAGTTGCGAAGAAGCTTGGCAGAAGGGACAGGACCACCTGGCAAATCGCGCCCTCTGCGAAGCTTGACATGCGAAATCGGAGCTGCTATGACTGCAATGTGTCCACAACCACTCCACAACCTGGCGAGTAGCTACTATGCCTCGAAAACGGAGTTACTCGGATTGTCGTACAACAACTGTGCGAGCACGACCCCTCAACACCAACTACGATGCAAATGCGTGGATTCTGCCGAAGGGCTGTTGGATCTGGCTGCAAATCGCCATCAGGGAGGCATATCTCCTCGAGCAACAGACGGAAACTCGTTGCCACGCATGCAAACCCCAACAGCGCACACAACAAACGTCAGACAGCACCATAGAAGTCGCCAGCCAGCCAAAACTCACAGAAAGAAGAACCCCATCTTTGTTGCACATTTGTGTGGAAGAGCCCCTTAGGCCCAAAAGAAACAAACTTCATTGAGCTTAGCAGCAACTGAAAAATTTGTAAGGGAGGTCCTAGCAGATTGAACTAAGAAACATAAGCAGGGGCTCCTCAGCACAGTCGTCTCCGTCATGTAGATACCCATCAGGGCCCGCGAGAAGATTGCATTCCTGCACTTTTTCAGGGGTTTAAGGCAGGTTGGGGGCGCCACCTCAGCACCGGTCCCAGAAGCGGGCGACGCCAGCAAGGAAAGGCAGTGAGCTCTCGGCAAACTTCAAGCTTCCAGAATATCTCCAGTACCTGAAGCAATGACACGAATCGCTGAAAGAAGCACGGTGCATCACATAGATGCATGCGTGCCTCCGTTCTGCTTCTTGCCACCAAGCAGCAAGATGAACGGCACGGCAGCAAACAAGCCTCGCAGTCACCCATGTGTGAAAATTGAAACCTCAACTGGAATCATGGGGAAACACTGCATAAGGCCAACTGCAGCCCACGAGCCAATCTGCTTCTGGGCAAGGTCGCCACCACCGACGCCCGCTGCGCGCACGCCATTTGGTAGGATGTGTGCCTGATCTTTTGCGTGACCCGCACGATAGGGAGGCATGGCGCAGTGTATTCGCAAAAGAAATGGGGTCCACTGCAGTCGTGCAGCAGGAAAGGCCAAAGAATCCCGGCACTGCGGATACAGTTCAGACGCCATGCGGCGAGCTTCCTTCGTCATGAATAAGGATGACACACGGAACACAACCCAACGATAACTATGCAAAGAAAAATCTGCGAACAAGCTTCCGGCATGAAGTCCAAAATGGCCCGAAAATATGGCAGAAAGGCCTGCGTGGCATTCGCTTGAAAATGTCACCGCACTTCGCAAGGAGAGGAAATTACTGGTGGTCAACTACCTTGTTGTTTCGTCTCTTCCTTCCTCTCATTGAAGCCTCCCGCACGTTCAGCTGTCTCCAGGCTCGAATGTAAGACATGCATTCGCAGCCAAATTAGACGGGAACACGAGGGTAGCGCAATCCTAGACCCTAGACACCGAAGCTACAAAGTCCCGTTCAACTCAGCAACCTCAAGCCCGACGGTGGAGAACAAGGGAACAGATTACCCGTCTGTTTAGAGTAGGGAGCCTACGAAAATGCCCTGTGCATTTTTCCAAGTTTGGCCAAATTGCCCAGAGGCTCTCCGGGCATTATCTGTTCATATCAGGATGAGGGATGAGAAAGAAGGCTTCAATAAGGTGTCAGGATTAGGGAAGGGAGGAGCAATAAGCCCTTGAAACTTGAAAATGCCCACAAAATTGCCTGAGTCACGTACGTACTCTTAGTGGGCATTTTCCCAGCAATGGGGGATGGGAACAGAACACCAAAAAACGGCCGATGTCGGTGGACGCTATTCCTGCCAGCGTTCCCAGATCAACCCAACAAGCGGCCTCCATATGATTGGCCACAGCTGCATTGTAGTAGATGGCCTGCGTCATCATAAAGAGCAGTAAACCGCGTTCCGGGGGGGAGGGCAAAGCAACACCGTCAATTGGTTCTACCCCAAAGTATGTAACTGAAGCAAACGAATCCACTTGACACTCTCTCGCCTCCGCATTGTAGTTCAGAGTGATGTCCCCAGCCCAGAGCACCTGCGCATCAAGTGGAAGAAGTCACAGGTGCCCTCTTTTCAACCCGCAGGGGCCTCGTCGTCCATCACGAACGGGCCGAACAACCCTGGGGCAGAGCCCGCCCAGGACGAAATGCGAAGAAGGTACTGGCTCATGTACCAGTGGAACCTTACGCATTGGAGCTGTACATGTTTCGCGTTTCTTTCGGGCTTTCGGGGGTCCCCTTTTTGGAAGGGCTATTCTCTGCGGGCTTCTCTGAAGGCTCCAGCGATCGTAACAGTGGGCTTTTAGGGGTACTCGGTGGGATCTCTGCAGGGTTGACTTAAAAATCTGACAACCCCGCTCAGACGGTGGAACAATGGTACCTTACCGGGGACCCTGGTGTTAAACAACGCCCACATCTCGTCTTGTCAGGACATCCATGCCATACATGGTGCTCAGGCGAGCAGCATCGTCACCGGCGAGTCTGGGATGTGAATGTACGACCTTCTCAAGCTTCGCTGTTGCGTGGCTGGGAACAAAATACGCAACAGCGGCTTCGGCGAGCCACCGGCCCCAGAAGCTGGTCCAGGACGCCAGGTGGGTGGCCTCAGATGCTCAGATGACCAACAGGAGCCCGACCTACCATTGCTGCCATGCCATAGCCATCTTGTCTTTTCTGACGTACTGAAATGTACTGAATCAAGCAGCACGCAGCTGTCCCAGTGCCGGCCTTGGCCAGAACACCCAGCTGTCCCTACAGGTCTGGCAAGGCACACATGGCACACACACACACACACACACACACACACACACACACACACACACACACACACACACACACACACACACACACACACACACACACACACACACACCGCATCGTACACGCCGCATCATACACCAAGCGGCAGCGGCGGAAACCTCAGCAAAGTGCACACCATCCTCACCTTCTGCCCGATCATGACAGACTTCTGCGCAAGCAATCTTTGAGTTTGCTGTTCAAGAAGCGTTGGTGCTTCTTGGAGGGATCTCCGGCTCATCTGGACTGCGAGGGTTGAGATCCTGACATACAGGCCACATGAGATTTTGTGGCTTGTGATTTGTTGTTATGGTCGACGCCGAGATGCACGACAACGCAGGAAGTCCACAATGTCAAAGCCGAGGAACCCAGGCTGTGTACGCCATATCCCCCTTGCACATGGGCCACGAAGATTGCCACCACATTGCCCCATGGCCTACAGCAAATGCCGATACGCCGATCGGTAACAGAACATGCAGGCACTGCATCCGAAGCTTTCAGACGGCAAAACTGCCTGAGCATTCTCAAAGGAACCGGCGCCGGTAGCTTGTGGCAGTGATGCCTGGAATCCAAACCTGAGTTCAGGATGTCAAAACCAGTTTCTCTTCAGCCGTTTGAACATGGGCCCCAACGTGCGTCGGAAAAACTTGCAATGGATGCTCTCGCTTTGAGCCCCATGCCCTTGACTTAACTAAACACGAACCCGGAGAGTAGTGAAACACGTCCACCACAAATGCAGAGAAGGCGCCACTGCACGGGAAAGTGTTGGCCCTGAGCTTTCCACTCATCCACTCAGTCTACTCCGTTCCATCACTGAGGTTTGTCAACCGAAATGGCGCAGCTACTGATTGAGCATCCAAAAACGGCTCTGAATAGCTGTGGACAGCTTGCTGCTAGCTATGCTCGCCTCTGTTCAACCCCAGTTGCTTGAAAGGGCCAGCCATTTGCACGGGACACCCTCAGCAAGTCCGGACTTGCCATCACCTCCGAGGGAAGACGATCCGAAGTAGCGCCTCATCTGCAGGAACCACACTTTCCGCAACTCAGGCAGGCCCGTGTTCTGCTCCAGCTGCACCAGCGTAACCCAGCAACAGCAAACCCGCAAGCAATCTGAAAGCCAAGGGTAAGGCCCGTCGTCATCGTCACCGGCTTCCCCTCCTGCTAAACAAATCTGAATCAAGTTGTATGTCAGCTGCACAAACACATCTCGCTCATCGACGTCTGGCATCCCGGCCTTAACGCTCGAACTTGGTGATATTGGAGGCCGTGCAGGGCCATTGCAGCCCGAAAATGTCCACAGCGTGACCTCCACCTGCAGCATGCGCAAGTGGAAAACAGCACGAACAATTCTTCATCCTGCATGCTTCCTTATGACAAACTTGATGCGGGTCCAAGGGCGAAGTGCAATGAGAAGAGCTTCGTTTCCCGCTACCAGATCGCTCGCGATTAAGCCTTGACGCACCTGACTCGGAGCAATTGCAGATGTGCTGGGAAGCAGCTGGTCTAAGGCTACGCCAAGGCTGGGTTCTTCTCGATTTCGCGGAGGAGTAATGCTGAGGAGAGTTCACCCGCACTGCAGGCCGCCCACGGGCTCCATCCATATTCACATGCGTCACACTACCTGAAGATTTCCAACGCTCGACGTGAGAAAAAACATGCCCTCGAGATGGAGGACATCTGATCATCCGGAGTGGTCAGAAGCCATGCAGACAGAAGCAGAAGCTGCTTTCACTGTAGAATCGTCAGCTTCGACGAAAGCGGTCTTCAGCACGCGATTTGGGTTTTGGATGCTCTTCGAGCAGAAGATGCACGCAGGTAAAAAACTATCAAAGTGCCCGAACCCCCTCTCGTGGTGGCCCACCACCCCACGAGCTCTGCCGCAGAGTGGCGGGGCTCGGTTCACAGTATAGAAAGCAGTGCGCGTGGAAGCTGGAGGTGGGTTCTTTGGGAGGGGAAGGAGGGAGGGCAAATTGCCCAACTTGTCCCGCTCGGCCCATCACTATGCAGCAGACCTGTGCCTGTGAGGGGGTTGTGACGCGAGACTGATCTCCACTTGTTCGAGAGGAAAAGTCTGTCTCACGGTCAGCCTTGTGAGGCGGGTGAGACGGGGCACATAAAAGAACGCCTCCAGAATTCCAGAGAACAAGTATGAGGCAAACGTGTGGCTGCCCAACAAGCCGGGAGATTTGGGGGGGGGGGGGGTGGTTGAGGCAAGTGGGGCAAGTGGGACAACATGAACTAGCTCTTCCAGAAAGGCAAGTGGGGCAAGTGGGGGCCAAACTTGATAGATGCAGATCGGACTGGCGCAGAGCTCTTGTCCAGAAACCCCCCTGTCAGAGCAGCGCGTTCTGGGCTTCTGCGAGCCTAGCTTATACTGGCGAGAGCCGCGGTCGGCACTGCAGGTGATCTACAGATGTCTGCAGCGCTGGGTTCTGAGCATCTATCCTGGCCACTGCAAGCTACGTTTCGTATGCAACTCGGATACAGTGTCTCGACACGCGAAAACACTCGAGCGAAATGTGTTGTTTGACCAAGCAGCCATGGGCACACACACACACAGAGACAGAGGTGGCAAAGCATTAAATCGGCACAACGCTTGATAAAATGAAGGGCAGCTGCGCCTCGTTGGCCACGGGCGCATGCAAATCAAGGAGCATGACGTTCTCGGTGGCGTGGAGGAAGGCACCTCACGACAGAACTCACAGGCTGCTGCGCAGATAGCTGCGCACGAAAGATACTTACACAGATGAGAAGCACAAGCTATAGACTTGGGCCGCTCGGGGTCACGCTCACAATATGCACTCCAGTCCTCAGGACTGCAAGCAGCCGCAGCAACTGAAGGCTTCCGCTAAGTGAACGCCTGCACTGCTTTAATCTAATCCAACTGGCTGAGCAGGGCGCGGTAGAGCCACATGCAAGCGAACGCTGCCGTTTGCTGCAAGCTGCTCCCCACCTAAGTGGGCAATTTCCCAAAAATCCTAAAAGGCCCTTTTTGAACCCTCAACGTTCCGTTTCCAGCACCCCGAGCACCCCACGAAGCACCTGCCCGGAGCCGGGAAACCTCGGAGTTCCGAACACATGATTTTGGGCATGATGGGCTTCAGCGGCGACTTGGAGCAAAAAGTGCACCTCATCTGGAGGTCGATCATGCTTTGGAACCCAGACTCTCTAGATCACTTGCCACGATGACAATTGCATCGACTTACACCCAAGAAACTACGCAGAAATATGGACCTTCGTGTCCTATCCCAAAAAGAGATGGACTTTCAACCTTACATTACCCAGCCTACCCTCGCAATGCAACCGACACAGCACAGCCGCATGAAACAGCATAGAGCCAAGATTCCGCAGAGAGATTCCAGCCAGCGCCTGCCAGCTTCCGCATTTGTAGCAAACACCGGCACTAGACTCACTAAACTCAGCATGCGATGTGAAGAATCGGATCAACCGTGATCAACCCGTGCGACCTGCAGCCTACGTGCCTCAACTGGGAGAGACCATCGAAGGTTGGGATACAGGCTGGCTTTTTTCCACTCATCTTAGAACCAAAGACCTTTTGGTCGATGCTCAGACAAACTGTACATCTTCAGCCACGGGAAGGGCTCCACCCACCCAGGCCAGAGACTTGGTGTACAGTTCTGACAGCATGGGCGCCGTGAAGCCATGCATGGTCACGGGGTGCTCCGAACCTGAGGGCAAAAATCATTGGATGCCAATCTCACTGAGACTTTAAAAGGGTAAGCCGGCGGCAGGCAAAGGATCGCGAGTAGTAAGCTCCACTCCTGGACCATACAGGTACTCAATGCCAAGTGATGCAAGGCGATGCGTAGTCGATTTAAACGAAGCTCACGTAGCACAAAGGCCATGTCCGGAATCTTTGCCGCACTCTTTGCAAATGCTGCTGCCCTGTACTCAAGAACACATCCTGCAGCCGTCATCCTTCCCAATCAAAAACCTGCAGCAGACTGAACTTTGGCAAACTCTAAATAATCTTCACACCCCAAACTCTTAAGCATTTTAAGCATTTTGAAGGCCACCACAGGCCGTGACAACAGGGCAGCGCACCAAAAGTTGTGAACCACGTACAGTACTTAGATTCATCGCAGGCGCGCTGTTGGGTCCTGATGTTCCCAGCAGCACAGTGGGCTATAACCGCGGCTCCTGCACAGGCAACATGTTTCCGCGGACCACAAGCAGAAGAAGCACAAACTTGCCATCATACATCGACAACAATTCCAAGACCCTCCTTGGTCCGGCGAGAATGGGCAGCTGTTTGCCGGAAGATCCGGGAGAGGCTGCACCTGTTGCTGGCAAACCGCCTGCCAAGGCAAAGATGTGGTCGCGATTCAGTGCACTTTAACTCTTGGCTGAAACCTGCGATGGCGTGAACACACTTCTTCAAATGGAGGCCGACTACCGACTGGCACTTGCAGGCTGTTGAACTTGCTTGGAGCAAGGGGCACGGAGTTAGCAAATCGACCTGTAACCAGGAAACCTGCTGCTTGCTGGCACCAGCACAACTTAAGACCTAAAATTCTGGGGCCAATCCACCCCACGACTTTTCAATGTTGCCATCGATCATCGAGCAGGAAATGGTTGCCCAGCTCCCTTTCTATTGTTGTAACATCGGCAATCACTGAATAATACAATCGCCGTGCTAGCTTCGATGCTCTTGAAGGAGCTACCTGATACAATTTGATTGTAGTTGCGGCTGCATGGGCCTGGACGACACCCAGCAAACTCTTGAGTTCTGCGAAGGATTTGCATGGATGCTCTGCTAAAAATTCTCTGGGGGCGCTCTACGACACTCTATGAGGCTAGGTTTGCTCTCAAGGGTACTCTGGGATGGACACTCCAGGGATTCTCTGAAATAGGCACTCCGAGCGAAGACCCGGCCGAGGAGAATAGCTCTGCAAACATCCAACAACCGCACCACTGCGACAACGACAGCGACGACAGCAATGCCACACTTTGCGGGTGCTGGTGAGACAGCAACAAGAGTGCGTCAGCAACCCCCTGATAATGTAAACCCCTCAACGGAAGAGTATCACACACTTGGGCTGAACCGTTTGCCTTGATGAAAGGGTTGTGCATATCAATCTTGCCCGTGAGGGAGGTCTGGACGAAGCCCGGTGTCAGAGAGCAGGCCTGCGCTGAAGCATCAGACTGGCATAAATGCCTAAACATGGCAAAACATGGTCGCAGAAGTCAGAGCTGGCCGGCCTCCACCCCGTTCCCCTCCTCACGCTTTGCCAACTCGGCTGCGTGTTGAATTTGCAAGAACTTGGCCACACCGTAGTTGGAAGCATTCTGCTGATAGCTGCCTGCCACTTTTAAGCTTGGCAGGGAGCATGGCAAAGATTCTCCAATTTTCCCGCTGGCTAGGCTCTGCTTTGACTGCACTTGGAGCCTGTGCGGGTGTGAATCGTCACGGGCTTCTTCGAAACGACAGGTGGCGGCAAATGTGAGAAGTCGCGGAAGCAGTCTGATGGCAGCCCGATGAATTCACAAGCATTTTCATGAGCTCCACTGGCCACATTGATGACCTCAAGGGAGAAACAGCAGCGAAGGGCTGCAGGCAACTGCAGAGCGCATGTACCACAAAAATACTTTGGCAAAACTTAACTTTGCTTTTGCCTTTGCTCGGACCGCTGTACCCAGTGCGTCCCCTCCGTACTTGCGCGCATGCATCCTTTCTCTGTAGCTCATTAGCACAATATATAGTGAACAGTAAAGGCATACGAAATGTTAAAATTTTATCGTGAGCATGCTAGGCCCAAGACAGAGGGATTAGATTGTGGCTAATTCTGCGCTACCACCTGAACCGGGGCCACCAAAGGGCCAGATCTAGACCCGTCGACGCACGGCCGCGCAAATACAGAGAGGCGATTGCAAGAGAACACTACACGCTGGGTCAGTTGGGGCACATGCATGGTGACAAACAAGAGTAACAGGCCCAACGACACCCGTCGCCCACACCAAAACAGCAAGAGCATGATGCCGTAGAAACGCCTGCAGTGGCAATCAGCCGAAAATAATAACACCTTGTCCGCTTGCTTTGCCGATATTCATGGTACTTATTCACCAATTATTACTGTTATAACTGTACTTCTAACTGTACTGAGAACCACATTCGAGCGCTTAAAGGCTGAGACGCGAATTGGATAATACGTACCATGAACCTCCAAGTATGTGCTTGTACGCTGTGATGGGCAAGAGGAGTGGCAGGAGTGGTCGCCTGCGAGGCTACTTCGGAAACGGCAAGGCTGCACCATGCTGCACCTGTCGCATCAACTTGGAGGTCAGAGACCAGGTGGGCGGCCGGGAGGTGTTGGAGCGATTTTCTTAACTTCGTTGTGATCGGGGCTCCACCCGAATAGGAAATTAAGAGAAAACCAGCACCTGTTTCACAACTTCCTCTTGTTTAAAACGGAAGCCAGCCAAGCCGAGCAGCAAGCCCCCGCACTCCACCAAAAATCTTCTAAAAACAAAACTGGTTTTATTTGTCTCCTCCTGTTCAGACTTAGTAGCGAATTCGGTGCACTACCAGGAACCAAACAAATCTGCCGGTAGCAGCGTTCATACAGTTCCAAGCTTGTTCATTTGGAGGCCTGGAACCATCAGAGGTGTTAGAAACTGCTCCTGCTGTTGGGCACCTCTCAGTTCATTTGTGCCAAAAAAAACAGAAACCACTGAATCTGCCGAACCGAGGTTTGCGAGCAATGGAAACGAAGACAATCAGCATCGTTTTCTTAACCAGCGCTCGCACTGTACAAGCGCGATGGACCGTGCCAAGACAGAGGCGCCTCGGAAAGGGCAGAGGCTACTTCGGTCGGCAAGCTCAACAGAAGTTGCGGGACGGCACCGTGCAAATACCGAAGACGCAGACCAACGGGGGCCTCAGTCAGAGTCCTGACTGGGGAATGCCGCAAAGGAGCCACAGAGGTGCTGTCGGAAGGGGGGCCACACACAAAAGCAGTCTGCAAAGGGTGCCCTGCCAACCAAGCCGCCCATCACAGACTCCGCACCTTCGGGCCGAAGCGGAGCTTCCTTGCCCAAGCCATGCCTCGTATGTTCTCTCGGGCTTGGCATCGCCCTTGATTGGGCCAAGCCCGCGTCGTGTGCCAAGGCATCCTTCCGGACGGCCACCCTGCCCTAGCACTGCACGGAAGGAGATGTTGCTCCAGCTGCCGGGTACGGCGCTGGGTCAGTTGCTTCGGAAACAAGTGCGGCCGATAGTTGGCACTTCAGATAGTCTTGTGGTACTCGGATCGCGTTCGGGGTCGGTCAGATAGGCGGGCCGTGTGGTCCTGCACACTTGGACGTGTCTAGTGGCAGTTTGGCGAACTTGCAGGCGTGCTGCTGCTGGACGATCATGGGCCAAGGCATGAGCCTTTGGACCCAAGGCGGCGTCGTCCGTGCCATCTTGATGACAGTATGGCCAGAGCTTGGGCGTTATGAGGTTCTATCAACTCCCTAAACCCCTCTAAACCCCCTTAAACCCCCAAACCCCTGAACCCACCTAAAACCCCCCCGAAGACCCCCAATACACTCCCTCAACATCACTTCGTTCACACACCGCACCCTGGAGGGCCGCCCGCGCCGAAGAGCCGGCAGAAGCAGCTCCGTCAGGAGGAAGTGGCCCAAGTAGTCCACCTCGTTTTGGGGAGAGTTGTCTTGAGAAGTTTAGAGTTCAGTTGCTTTCCTTTAGTATGACGTTGACGTGATCATCAAAAAAGGGCGCCTGGAAAACCAATTCGAAACCATCCTGGCTCAGGGTGCTCGGGCTACCTGCGCTGAAGGAGGGCGGCGGCAAGGGCATGCTGTCGCGCAGAAGATATCGACACGTGACCCCTGCGTTATGGACAGAGGTGCCTGCCTATGCCGGCATCATTCACCAGCAAGTTTAAGTCCTCATAGCTCTGGTAGAAGGTTTTGGCAAAAGAGCGCACGGATTGCAGCGACCCCAAGTTCAGTGGCAACGCATCCTCAAAACGGGCCCATGCCAGTGCCAGAAGCACAGTGCAAACAGACGCCAACTTGAAAACGTTGAAATTTTTCGTTACCAATACAAGCAAGGCTCAACAGTGGCTCCAGTTGCCTTGGAAATATTCTCTGCAGCAAGCCTTCCTCTGGTTTCATTGTGGTTGCCGATGACGACCTGCACAACGTTCTGAGCTGTCTGACCTGCACTTCGCAGCTCCATTCTACCGCTGCCTTGGCTCCACGCTTCGCGAGCGCAAACGCCGTGGCATATCCAAGGCCACTGTCACCGCCAGTGACAACGGCAAGCTTCCCAGTGAAGTTGTATCCTCGGCCGATGCAGCAACAATAACTTGACAACAACATCAACTTCGAGCTTGTTGAATCGAGCACGCGCCTTTCAAGACATCGTCGGCTGTGACATTTCCCGGACAAGGCCAGCAAAACCTTGAAAAGCATAAGTTGAAGGCAACACCGCAACACTCGGCAAGCAGCTGCAAAACTGTGTGCATTTTAAGCTTCTCGCGACTGTGTTGCGAAAGAAACGGCGAGAACGAATCGCAACATGGCTCGGAAATTGGCTACGCAAAGATACTGCGAAGCCAGACGCCGGCCACAAATCTGAACCAGAGGCAGGGCCTAGTTGGTGTGTTGGATGAACCGAACCATGAATGCAGGAGAATATGTTGATCGCATTGCTGCATCATGCTGCATCTAGCTATAGCTCGTTTTGAGGTGTCCAGGACTGTAAAGCGGTTTTGACTTGTACCTTGGTCGGTGCCACGCCGTTGGGTGGACTTTGGTGAGATGTGGTCGCCACAAAGTGTAGTTGGACACCGGTTTCCACCGGCAAACCCTTTTTTGCGTCCGGACTCCTGTGGATGTTGCCGGTAAGCCCTAAACCCGAAACCCGAAATGCGACACGTAAGCATGGCCTAGTGCGATGTGCATGTTGGCTGCTGACGCTGCCGTCTTGGCCGTTTTGAGATGAGGTGCACCTTGCTGAAACGACTCGGCGTGGGATTCGTGTATGTGTAATTCAAGATGCCAGCAATGAGCATGGTACTGGAGAAAACGCTAGTACGGGACCTGCTTGGTTGTTCAAGTCCACAGCATGTAACGAGACATGCAAACAGGACATGGCCTTGCGCCCTCCAGGAGCATATCCGCACGACGTCGTGCCAGCAACCGGCGCTGCAAAAAAGGCGTTGTGCCCAATGTGCACATCGAGCCTCACACGGCGGGGAAAGGAGTCCGAGATTTCCAGGCACAGGGGTCACACTTCTAAACATTTGCAGGGGGAGCTGCTGTGGAAAGGATGGTAGCCAAGCCAACGCTGCCCCAAGATCGCCATTGCCTGGAAACAACCCGTGCTCGAGTACAAGGGCTGCTTTTTGCCCAGAACTGTTGCAGGACATGTTCAAAGACTTTAAACCATGTTGGCGCCTATCAGAGGACCATCCGGAAGTCCTGGCCGCCAGGCAGACATCCATGCGGACAGCTCTACGCAAGTGGCAATGTCAAATGTGTGACCACCCTGCCTTTGCTGGGAACAAATTTCGGGGGCGCATCCCAAACGCCAATAATGTCATCAACCGGATGGTATCCGAACGTCCATCCTGAGTGATCCGGCGACCCGTCTGAAACCCAACACGAACACGCAGAAAGCTGCATACCCATCCAACATTGCACGGCTTTAAGTCGCCTGCGCAGGGGTGCCGCGGCCACAAGCACTGTCAACCCACTATGCATGAGCGTAAATCTTGCAGAATGCACCTTGCTGAAGGTCCATGTTGCTGATACGTGGCTCTGTGTCAGAATAGGGTATGTCGCGTTTGCCCCCCCCCCCCCCGCCCCTCGTTGCGGAGGAGGGTTGTCACAAGGAGCACGGCTTTGTTACAAACCCTATGTCGCAAAAAGAAGCCCGGGTTAGTTTCACATATTTTGCAGCTTTTGGCCGGCACCTATGTGTCAGCACAGCATACAGCACAGTCGAGCGAAACCATGGTTCTACGGCAAGGCCAAGCGCCATAAACCTCTTCAAAATCCTTGCGGGCAGCGACTTTGACGCTACTATCGCTACTGTACATGCTTTGCAAGCCGAAGTTGGCCAGCCGTGCTGGACTGCCAGCCATGCTGGACTGCCAGCCGTGCTGGACTGCCCACACAACAAGCAACTTTGACCACTGCTAGTGGACAAGCTCAACAAAACTAGATGGCTCCAGGTACCCTGCGAGCCGGATTACAAAATCTTGCCATGCACCACGTCTGGGTATGTACGCGGCACTGGCTCCGAGGCTGAAAAACATTTGTGCGAGGGGGAACGGGCAAGCGCTTCAAAGCTGACAAGACGCTTGAGGTTCACGGTACGATGGCAATCTAATTAGACATGACTCGCGCCTAGCTGCTTTCTTTCCAAAGGAAGACATAGCTGCTGTTCGCACGTTGTTTGCAAGCAAGAAACGGTGGTGGTATCAGCAAGATCCCCCTGCTGCCGTTTAAACGTAATGATCATCAAGTTCATCTTCCGGCCACCACTGCAAAAGAGCAGACTGCACAGACTGTCAGAGGAGGTGTTCTCCAGCTTGTGACATATACCTGTCGGACCGTCGGGCACTCATCGGCAAGGCTTGTTGAGATTGCTGAAGACTTGTGTTCGAGAGTGGTGCAGGCCGCCGCGCTGCAGGGTACCTGCTGGAAACACGCCACGTTCAGAATGGACAGTTTACAGCAGAGACGGCCGGCCAATCTACTTCTGCTTCTCTTGGAGTAAAGCCGGGAGTGATACACATGGTGGCGTTCTGCTTTTGCTTCAGGTGGGGAGACTTGACAAGCAGAAGTTCACCGAGAGCTATGATCCAGTGAAGTGTTGTGCTGGCAGGATTGGCGGTGTTCGATATGTGGATCGTAAAGCTGAGGGCCCACAGGATCACACCTTCATCACTGCTTATGCCCCGCAGGAAACAGCGAGCGATGAAGACAAACAGGCCTTCTTCACAGAGCTTCAAACTTTGGTGCAAAAAAAAAAACATGTGCAAACCCTGCCTCGGTGCACAGCAGTGTGGATGATGGGCGATTTCAACACGCATCTGGGCCCGATTCGCAGCACCGCAGTGTCCAACGCCAGGATGCTGAGCCCACGAATGACAACGGGCCGCTCTTGGGGCACATGTGCGACAGTCTTGGGCTCTGTCTAGTGAACACTTTCCACGCAGCGGGAAGTACATGGTGGTCGGCTGATCAACTAACTAAACACAGATTTGATCACATCGCAATACGACGCGCTTAAACGTAGCAGGGTCAGCAAGTTGCTAGGGAAACGACACCAATTGCTGACCACTGGCCGCTGGAGCCAGCGGTAAGTCTGCCGCGTCCGAAACATGCCGTGCTTCAATGGAACAGGCAAGCCATCCACCGTGCTGCTACGGATCCAACGCTCTACATGCCCTTTCTTCAAGACGTTTCGGAGGCGCCGAGGCAACATTCTCCGACAGATTCTGGACAAAGTGTTTTTTTTTTTTTTCTTCGCACCTTTTCTCCGCCAGCCGGAAAGTCACAAAAAAAAAAAAAAAAAGTCACAGAGTCGGGGGTCACCGGGAAGGGGTCAGCGGGCGGGGAGGCGGCTTGCAGCGACCGGCCGTTCCCAGCGCCCGTCAGCGAGGAGCTCATGAAGCTCGGGTTCGCGCTCAGGAAGGATGGACTTTTGTGCAACTCCAAATGGGTCAGAATCCTGCTGACTGGTGCGTTTGCCATGGTTTGATCAACCATGCACAAGCTTGTCTGGATGAATGTGCTGACACCCTGTGGAGCTACCCATACCCCAAACGCATGGCGGACAACATGAGCTAACGTGAGACAACGTCAGGACGTCCAACGGCCATCGCAGTGAATCGACCCAGTTGAACTCTGCCCGCATTCGGATTCGGACTCGAGTGTACAATGTACAACAAAGGGACGATTGAGCCAAGCAGTCATTTGCAACCATACGAACAAGTCTGAAAGATGAGACCTAAATCAAGGAGAGGCCTGACCGCTACATCTGAGGGCGGCACCACACAGGGGGACAACACGGAAGCACTAGAGCTACAGGCCCAGCTGCGTCCGACACCCGGCCATGCAGGATGCATCCATCCCGACAACACGGCAGAGAGCATGGACGTCCGTAGGGCGAGGCCCCCGACACCCGCGTGAGTCTCCGGCGTCCCGCGAGATCTCAAGCACCACGCTTGCCAATGGGCCGTAACCCTATGCGAGAAGAACCCGACGGACCCAAGCAGATGCCAAACAGGACACGCCTCATCATCTGCAACGCCCGTTCTGGGGGCCTCCGAATGGATCTGCGTGGTATATCCCCAGCCAGTGACAGACAGTTCCTGAAACAAGGCCGCGTGAAGTCGTGGCCGATTCCACACACTTGTCCGACCGCTACAGCCCGAGCCAAGTGCTTGAGTATCACCTCGGCGCCCTTGTCCCACGTGCCGGGGAAGCTCAAAAAAGCTGAGTACATAGAAATGTTCAAAGTGGAAATGTAAATACCTGTAGTTCGCGAGCGCTTTTCCTTGTCCCACGTGCCGGTGCTTTTTACCACCATGGGCACAAAGACTATGCCTTGGGCCTCGCAGCACTGCGCAGTGTTGAGGTGGCTTTTTTTGTGCCGGGCATAGTCGGCAGCCGCTGCAGCTGTTTCCCTGATGGCCTTGGCCAAGGTCTCCTGTCGCTCTGGCGCGGTGCCGGCGAAGTCGAGTGCAGCAGGAGAACCGGCCAACACCGGTAAATAAACATTAGCAAGGCGCCTGCCAGCAGAGCGAGTATCGTCCGGGCACTGCGGGAGCAACAACCCGGACTTTTCTTCTTCGGGTCAGGTCACGGATGGCATTGTGCCTTTGCGTGCGTTCCCCGCCGGCAACACACATAGCGGCATGGTGTCCACAGGGGTCCAGGATACCATCGCATCGTGGACACCAGACATCTTCAGCGCCGAAAAAGAATCGCCCGGTTAGCCGCGTCAGCTGCTAACAGAATTGCATCCCACTCTGCCGAGCCAATGTGCTGCGACAGGTCTCGCTGGCTGCTGCCCGCTTCCAAGGTGACCCGGGAGCGGGGCATTGAGGGCGTTGAGCGCCTGGACCACATCGGGGTCGTTGAGCAGGTCGTTGGCGGAGAACGATGGGTCCAACTCAACACAAGCAGGCACGCTCTTCTCCAAAGAGGCCAAGTAGGCGGCGGGCGCGTGTCCGACTGTGCGGCGGAGTCCAAGCCCCGCTCTCGCATAATTAGCCTAACCCCGCCCGTCGCCACTGTGCAGCCGTTGGGTTGACGCCGGTAAAACTGGCAGAGGAGCGTCCTGCTCGATCCCATGACGTTCTTCAACGCCACCTTGGATGCCCACGCTGACCAAAGAGCAGAGCATCAGTATGCCTACGAAAGAAAATGCTCTCCGCATGCCTCTGGCGACATTACCGGCATCCAAAGCGAAGCGGTCCCGGTGCAGACCCAGGCCAAATGCGCATGGGAGTTTTTGTGTTGTGCTCAAAGATGGAGGTTTGCAGGGTGAAGCACTGGACCACGGCTTTCAGGAGAGTGACGACCAGGTTGTGGGTGATTGGAAGGATGTGCCAACTTTGGACAACTACACTTGCGTTCGTTACAGTGGACGCACGTCTCGACGGCCTCGTACGCAGATGAGATGATCCGTGTCGAAGCGGCCGCAACAACAGCGCACGAGGTTGAAGCTGCAACACTCGACAACACTGCGGGTGCAATCACTTTTGACGGCTTTGAGCCAATGTCGCATGTGTATGCTCACTCATTGTGAAACATGCTGTGCGACACCTATAAATCTAAACACCCCTCCTAAGCCAGGTTGCTTCACACGAGCCGTTTGGCTGCTCCGGCTCATCCAGCATGAAAACGAAATCCCATGTTCTTGAGGTGTTTGAGCATTGCCACTTCGGGCATTGGCTTGGTGCAGATGTCGGAATAGTTCTTTTCTGTGCCTACACGCTGTAGCTCCAGAGCTCGTGTGGTCACGATCTCTTTGCTGCATCGTTGTGGGTGATACTCGTAGATCAGCCGTGGATTTCCGCGTAAGTGGCGGACAAGCCTCTTCAGATCGGCCCTCATGTGAAGATCCTATGCAGTCTGCTGAAAACATTGAAAAGTTCAAAGAATGGAAGGAAGCTCACGCACGCTCAAGCTGACAGACATATCACATGCACACTTCTTATGGAAAAGCAGACCGTGTGTTTGTCACGCTTCCCGAGGGAGATGAAACTTCCGGCGTTTGTGGTCTGTTGAAAAAGACCATGTATGCCACCCGTGATGCCTCAGTTGTATGGCAGAGATCATGCACGAACCTGTTACGCAAGGACGGGTTTGTGGTGGGAAAAGCATATCCGTGTACTTTCTATCATGCCGAGCCCGACGTGAGACTACTGGTGCATGGGGATGATTTCGTAGTCTTGGCAGACGACGATGGACATCGCTTTGTACACGAAGTACTGTCTGAAGAGTACTAGTTCAAGTGTAATGGCCACATAGGACCTGAGTGTGGTTTGGATAGCATGACTGTCCGAAACTAGGACTGCTGCCCGGCTGATGGTATCGTAAGCGCTGCGGTCAAGGAACACGACGGTCGCGAGCAGGTCGCGCTCCACCGCAGAGCGCAGCATGGCCGCTAGGCTACCGGTGCGAACTGAAACGGACGGGTCGCCTCCCCGGCCGTAAGCTCGCGCTGGAACACGCGAAACGAAGCGACGGAATACATCCGGTAGCGATGCCCCTGACCCCTCCCTGCGGCTTGCGAAGGGCGGTGCTTCGGGATAATGCCAAGGCATCCATAGCAACCGGGGGGGCCTGCGCGCGAGCTGCGACATTCACCACGAAGGTGAAAACCTCCAAGGCGCCATCATCGTCGAGGAGCAACGTGTAGAACTCGACAGTGGCGCCCGACAGGCCCACAGCTGATCCGCGCTGGGAGGTGCGCAGCGCGTCGGCGACATGTTGCTTCGAGAGTGCAACCTCCTCTACAGGGTGATGGTTCGTCACCTGCTGCGGGACCGGTCGCAGTGGCTGCGGCGGCCGTCTCGACATGTCGGTGCGTGCTCTGAGCGTGGCTTCATCGCCGGGCGCGCGGCCGCAGTGAGGACTTGGCACGCTCGGGATATTTCTCCTCGCCGAACCCGGGCACAGGCCGCAGCAGTGTGAGCCTGTCATCCGCGGTCACGGGCTGCCTCATGCGGCAAGGCACTACGTCGAGCTGGCCATGCGGGACGTCCCAACGACCTTCTCGAAAAGGCTGCACGCGGCGGAGGGGAACGGCCCGACCGTCACCAGCTGTCTCGACGCAACGGGCAAGGAGCAAGCGTGGCAGAAGCAAGAAAAGCTTCCACGCTCGCACCAGCGCAAGGTTATGTCGACCTTCGTGCGCAGCCCGAATGGCCTGGAGCGCAGAGACGAGCGCACATCCCGCGGAGAGGAAGCGGGGCACGGTGTGCAGGGTGGACACGCTGGGCCAGTAGGTCAATGCCATCGAGCCACCGCCCAAGCAGCGCCAGGGAATGCGGGGCTTCGGCGGGGTTTGGAGCTGGGGCTGCACCAGCATCACTGCCCGACGAAGTCATGGTCACACTAGCGCGCCGCAAAAGCGGAGGGAGGGCCGTCCCCGTTCCGGCTTCGCCTTTCTTGGCACAGCCCTTGCCTGTTTCTGAGAGGGTTGGCTGACATTGCCTCGCACCGCTGCAGAGCCACGGCGTGCGGACTGGAGACAGGCGACGAACGCTTGTGGCGGGAAGGCGCGCGGGTGCTCATCAGTAGCGGCACGCGCAGGGCCCCTGCCAGTTGCCAGTGCGGAGCTCGCAGCTGCAGTGGGCTGACCCGGTTGGCCACCCGGAGTACGTGCGCGCCTGGGCCGACGAGCGGTTGTGCGCGGAGTGGGAGCTGCTGGACCATCTGCCCCAGCTCCAGCTGCCGCATTGCAAGTCCAGTAGGTTCGTGCTCAGCCGCCCGTTCGCCCACAATGCACACTTGGACGAAAGCGGGGTCGCCAATTGGTACTCGCAGCACAACGAACCCGGCGCGTGCCAGGCGGCTTGTCCTTGCGCCACACTTCGGTCGACCTGACCTGCCACGATGTCTCGTGCCTCCCGCAATGCAGTGAGGACGTAGCGGTCCCAGAAACGCGAACACCTCGTCCTCCGCGTGAAGGCGGCTTGAGCCACGCGATAGC